AGGGTTTCGGAGTTGGGCCCGTAGGTCTGGGATTTCGGGTGCTGAGGTTCGGGAGGGGGAGGGGGGGGGGGGGGGGGTTGGGCTCTATAAGCCCTGTAGACCCTATAAACTCCATATGTGCTAAACGTCTGAAATCGAATCATTCGAAGGAGCGACTCAGATCCGAAGGCAGCAAGAAGCCCTTTTTCTACATCCAAAACACGGACCCGAACCCTAAAGGACCTAAACGGCCATAGTCAAACCTTGCGCATGGAGCAGCATTAGATCTACCCTCTAAGAAAAAAAGACGGGCTGCAATCATTGGGCCAGTTGCCCTCGCAGCAGCGGGTTAACTACATCTACATGTCCACCCTTCTGCATGGCACTCTAAACCCTAAACCCTGAGCCCTAGCCCTAAACCCTAAACCCTAAACCCTAAACCCTAAACCCTAATTCCTAAGTAATCCCCTCCTCCGAATCCCTTGGATGCTGGGGGCAGGAGGCGCCTGTGGAGCCGCCACGGCCTAGCTTCAAAGAGCGCAGGGGGTCCTAGTGGGCAGGGTTAAGGGTTTAGGGTTTAGGGTTTAGGGTTTAGGGTTTAGGGTTTTGGGTTCAGGGTTTAGGGTTTAGGGTTTAGGGTTTAGGGTGGTGTATGGTTTTGTTTGGATCATGTGGGGGGTTTAGGGCAGGACTCAAAAAGAGAATCTCTCGCAATCCTCAGTGGGAGTTGGAGTGAGAACTGAAGTTTTTGGGCTTTGTGGTGCCCACCAGACCTGGAAGCCCTGTGCCTGAAGGCCTGTCCTTGCAGGAGTGTGTTGCCGTTGCCAACGCACGGTGGCACTTCAAGACTAGGTAGGTCATTGGGAGACTTCATATTTTCCCTCGTTGGGTTTTAAAGGGATCACATTCAGGAGTTATTCTCAGAGGATTCTAGGGTTAGGTCATTGGGATACTTCATACGTTCCCTTATTGGGTTTTTAAGGGGATCACATTCATGAATGATTCCCGGAGGGTTTTAAGGGGGTCATCCTAGAAGACATCTGACAAGTGCCCGAACCATGCTGCAGGTGTCGTCCGGGACCTCCTCGACCGGCCCGGAGCTCTGGGGCCCAGGGATGCGAGGGGCGATTGGGTTTAGGGTTTAGGGTTTAGGGTTTAGGGTCTAGGGTTTAAGGTTTGGGGTTTAGGGTTTAGGGTTTAGGGTTTGGGCCAGGGATGCGAGGGGCGATTTGGGGCGGTCTCGGAATTTGGTGCTCTTAGCCTGTGCTTTCCTTCATTCCCTCATATCTGTACAGTGCCTGGCAGTCCCCAGCATGCGACCCTGAGACACAATCTTCTGCTGCTGAACTCTACCGCCGCGCCGGTTCTTAGGTGACTTATTCCTGCAGTTCCTAGACGCCGAGACCCTCAACTCTGAACCACCAACCCCTAAGCCCCAACTCCAAAGCATCCCCAACACTTCGTTCCAAGTTTCACAAGAAAGCCTTCAAACCTCTTTAACCTGACCTACCCTACATCCTAAACCCTAAACCCTAGCATCCCTAAACCCGAAACCCTAAACCCTAAACCCGAGTATCCCCAAACCCTGCTTGATGCGCCGACTCCCTTGCGCACACCCATGGCAAAGAAGCGCCGGCGTGGGGCAGAGCAGCCCGCAGCCGCAGAGCAGCCGGCAGCAGTGGAGGAACCGGCCCCCAAGGACCTTTTAGGGTTTATAGGGTTTGTAGGGTTTGTACAGTTTATAGGGTTTGTAGGGTTTGTAGGGTTTGTAGGGTTTATAGGGTTTACAGGGTTTTATGGGGTTTACAGGGTTTATAGGGTCTATACAGTTTATAGGGTTTATGGGGTTTATAGGGTTCATAGGGCTTTTAGGGTTTATAGGGTTCAGGGTTTAGGGTTTATAGGGTTTATACAGTTTATAGGGTTTATAGGGTTTATAGGGTTTATAGGGTTTATAGTATGTTTATAGGGTTTATAGGGTTTATAGGGTTTATAGGGTTTATAGGGTTTATAGGGTTTATAGGGTTCATAGGGTTTATAGGGTTTATAGGGTTTAGGGTTCAGGGTTTCTCGATGGGGAGGGGTTTAGGCGGGTTGGGGGGGGCGTTACCCCGAAGCCCTGGACTGTAGCACCCCCCAAAACCCCTAAAGCTCTAATTCTCAAGAAAGAGGTCCGGAAACCTCAAGCCCCAAACATCCCTCAACCCTAAACCCAGTCATCTAAAACCCTGAACCCCAAACTAAACGCCCTAAAACAACCCAAAAAGCCCCCTTCGAAACCCTAAACCCTAAACGCTAAAAACCCTAGAAACCCCTAAACTCTAGTACCACCCTTTTGGCCAAAGAGGCGCCGGCTCGAACGGCCAAGCGAAAGAAGGCCCCTAAGCCGGCGAAGCCGCAAGCCAAGTCCAAGGCCGGCTTAGGGGTTTTAGGGTTTAGGGTTTAGGCTTTAGGGTTTAGGGCTTAGTTCTTAGGGTACAAGATTTCAGGGTTTAGCGTTCAGGGTTTTAGGGTTTAGGGTTTTATGGTTTGGGGTTTAGGGCTGGGGCATTCAGGGTTGGCGGGGGGGGGGGGGGGGGTCATAGTCATTTTTTCGGTTTTGGGATGCTTTAATTATGGGTTTTATGGTAAACTAACTTTAGGCCTAGGGGGCAAAACTTCATGTAGTCAGGGAATGAGAGTACAATTCTTTGGTGCTCCCCTACACCCTAAACCCTAAGCCCTAAGCCGGAAACCCTAAACCCTGAGCCCGCCTGTTGCAAAGTCTCAGCCAAGTCTCAGGTCGTCGCGGGTTTCTCGGCAGAAGTGCAAGCCATTCTGGAGGACCTGGCGGATCCGGCCTCAAAAGGCCCGGGTCAGCGCGTGTCTTCGTACTTGGGGCCTACCTAGTTTAGGGTTTAGGGTTTAAGGCTGAGGGTTTAGGGTTTAGGGTTTAGGGTTTAGGGTTTAGGGTTTAGGGTTTAGGGTTTAGGGTTTAGGGTTTAGGGTTTAGGGTTTAGGGTTTAGGGTTTAGGGTTTAGGGTAGAGACTGAAGGTTCCGGTGCTTGGCTGGCTGACCTGGCGACATTCGAGTCGAGGTGTTCTGAGTTCTGCTGCCTGCAAAGGCACACTGTCGGACCGCCTGAACCCCACACACCCTCGCTACGACAAGAAGCTGAAGACCAGATGGAAGTCGTTCTCCAAGAAGGAGCGGCTCATGCAGGGGTTTAGGGTTTAGGGTTTAGGGTTTAGGGTTTGGGGTTTAGGGTTTAGGGTTTAGGGTTTGGGTCCCAGAAAGGGAGGTAGCTAGCTTGGCCGAAGTTGCTGCTATGACGGACACAAGCATCCTGTCTCTCTGTGGCTCTGCCTTTTTGGGCATTGCAGTTTAGGGTTTAGGGTTTAGGGTTTAGGGTTTAGGGTTTAGGGTTTAGGGTTTAGGGTTTAGGAGCACGTCCGATGGCTCTGAACTCCTGTGCAAGGAGAGGGCTGCCATCGTCGAGTGTGACAAGAACAAGATGCAGGCAGGGTCTTTGTTCGTGTAGGGTTTAGGGTTGAGGGTTTCGGGTTTAGGGTTTGAGGATTTAGGGTTGGGGGTTTGGGGTTTCGGGTTGGGGTTTTAGGATTTAGGGTTGAGGGTTTGGGGTTTCGGGTTTGGGGTTTTCGGATTTAGGGCTGAGGGTTTAGGGGGGTTTCCTTGGCAACATGGCCGCGCCATGTTGCAACAGCTTTGAAGGGGGACCCTGCAGTTTAGAAGCGGGGAGGCAACAGTCAGCGCGGCTGTGTCCATCGAGCATCCCTTTGACACGAACGAGGATGCTGCCTGCTTGCCTGAGGCTCCCGAATCCCTCTGAGCCCTGAACCCTAAGCCCGCAACCCTTAACCCAAAACCCGAAACCCTAAACCCTAAACCCTGTGTTTTTTAGCCAGCAACCCTGCCTCGGCCCCAATAGGGGTTCAGCATGCTTGAAGGTTGTTTGGGTTCAAGATGTCTAGGGCTTTCCTGGATCCTTTAAGGGATGGAAATATGTAATCGCCGCTTGTGACCGATCAAGTGCTGTCACCATGTTTGGACAAAGCAGCGATCAGTCAAGAACGCGTTTCGGCCAGGCAACGCACGTTTCGGTCGGCAAAGAACGCCATCACCAAACATGAGTCCGTGGCTCATTTTGCCGACACACCACACCCCCCCCCCCCCCCCCCCCCAAACACAAAAACAAAGGCCCAGACCCTCACCCCCCCCCCCCCCCCACCCCCCCACCCCCCCCCCCCCCCCCCCCCCAACCCCAAACAAAAGAAAAACTCGAGATCAAAGATTTTAATACTCGGACATAAAGAACCCGTGTTCTTCAGAAGAACTTCTCCAGGCCCAGGCCACATCCTCCTATGAGCAGCTCAGGACCACTGTGAGACTTCGCTGGAGGCCTATCGGGATGTGCTGCCCATCCTGCAGCAAGTGGCTCCTGAGCTGCCCTCATGCGGTGAATCCTGGGGGGGGGGGGGGGGTGGTCCCCCTACTTGGAGCTTCATGGGTAGTTACAAGCATGGTTATAAGTACATTAATTGAGGTTATACGTAATCTAGGCTGCCTTGGTTATAGCCCTAGTTGTAACTACCCAGGAATAACCTTCAAGTGGCCCTTCTCCGAGTTTAGGGGGGCCGAGTCCCAGAGGGTCCTTATTGTCATCGGACAGAACAGGACACCGCGGCGGTGCTTCTTCAGGTGGGTTTCGGGCCCCTGGCCTTGTCACTCAAGCCTGCCACTGCAGGGGCCTGAACCCTAAGCCCTGAGCCCTAAACCCTAAGCCTTAAACCCTAAACCATAAACCCTCTATGTTTTGGCTCAAGGGAAACCGCGGAACACACCTGGGTAACGGGCTCAGCCTCTGCCCGCCCAGCAATGGCAGACTATGAGAAGATCGCCATGGCGGCGATGGAGGAATTAGACGGCCACTTGGCAGCCCAGTATCACCCTTTTCCCTTTTTTTGGGTTATGCCAAAAAAGGTGCCCTTAGTATAATATGGTTACTTGGGTAACAGGCCACATGTGCTGGCCCGTGGAGTGGTTCAAGGAAGACCTGCCCAGGGCTCAGCTTTAGGGTGGCAAGCCTGCGCTCCTCGTTAACAAGCTCAGGGACTGGGTAGGTAGCCTTTAACCTTTGTTGGTTTTCTAGACTCCTACTATACATAAAACTTTAGCCTGTTTTGGGGCTAGGGTTTCAGGCCCTAAGAAAGGGTTTTAGAGCTCAGGGTTTGAGGAAGGCACGGATTCGTCGGAAGAGCCGCCTATCTGATACAGGATGCCCCCAACATGTCATGCTGCTCCCTGCATCCCATCGCACCAAGGCCTGTGGAAACTAAAGACGGCTCGGCCATGGACGTGGTGGTCGGAACCTGAGATTAGCACGGTGCGTGAATCCTTGAGAAGTTGACGCCAAAGCCTCACATGCTTCCGGATCAGGAGATGTGAGCAGCATGTAAAACACGGTGTGTGAGCCCTCGAGGTGGAAAAAATCATCAACCAGTCCAACAAGATTCCGAAGCTCATGGATCCATATGTGAAGGGCCAGGTGCAGGACACTATTAGGGATACACCCTCTGAGACTTTTTTTGTTCATCCAGCTGCTGCCTTGGCCGTAGGTACATCGGGAGTAGCATGTTCATCGCAAAGAGCTGGGGGCAAAACAGCCCTTATAGCCTTCAGGAGCCACTAGAGATCCCGAAGCCAGACACGCCGCCCAAGCTGAACGTCCTCGCCTTTGGAGACCACTCGGGCTACTGCAAGAACTTCTTTGCAAATGCACCCGAGGGCCGAATAAGCATGAAGAAGGCGGTTTGGTCTCGCAACACCCTCTCTGTTGTCATACTTGTGGTGGCCATCTCTAAGTCTCCCCCTGACCGTGGCAGGTGGTGGAGAACTATCACTCCCTCACCCAAGAGGATGTCAAGAAGCTAGTCAACGAGCCCAAGAAGGGATGGGACTTGGTCATCTTCACCGTGGGCTGCGACCCACCCAGGAGCAACAGCATCCCGGACGTCATCGAGCAGAACCTCGGCCGCGAAATGCAAGGCATCGAGGGTTTGGCTTTTGAACATCATTTGCGTGGCCTGCAGGTTCCTGTCTGAAGCCACAAATATGGCGTTTGCGATAAGAAGGGCCCCCACATAGTAGGATCCCCTTGTAACAAGGACCTCAGTAAGGTAGCCCTACTATCAACGTAAACCCCCATATGCCTTTGCACCAGCCAAGGAACACGGTGATTTCCAGACTGTACTTTTGGTTGGCCTACGAGCTTCAGAGAGCTGAAACCAACACAAAGATCTTTTGCCTCGTGCGGGGACTCTTCCACGAGGACAAGAAGACCCACATGAAGGCCGTAGGGTTTAGGGCACTTTTGCCCATGGATGTGCTGAAAGCACTCTTAGCGTTGAAGCTCAAACTTATGTTCGAATGTCCGTTCTCGTAAGTATCAACGTCACACTTTTGCTTATTGGCGGCACACGTTCTGCGTAAACCCACATTACATTCAGCTCAAGGGCTGGTCATGTAAGATTGTGGCTTCTGAGTTATAACTATCGACTTTGAAGATCGTGCATTAAGTTTTAAGGCCATGGTGTGACAGTTTAACGCCGTTTTCAGCCTGACCGTTGTAAACCCCATACACCCCACCAACCCTATCAAGCCCTGTAAACCCTATCAGCCCCACACAATCTAGTAGCACAAGCCCCAAAAATCCTACAGGGTCATCTGGCTTGGCTTTTGAGATATCTTGCATCTTCCCTATTGGGGTTTACAGAAGACCCGGTACACAGACATGTTTTTTCTCTCCCTGAATTGCGTTTATAAGGGACTCTATATCCTAAACCCTAAACCCAAAGCCTAAACCCTAAACCCTAAACCCTAAACCCTATGTATATATGTGTATATATATATATATATGGCAAACGCGGTTTATCTTTGCCAGGCTGGTCTGGGCCTCTGCGTCTCGGGCACCTTGTTCGGCATGTCCAACACCCTCCGGCAGGAGCGTACCTCTGCGAGCCCTAAACCCTGAACCCTAAACCCTAAACCCTAAACCCTAAACCTAACCCTAAACCTTGGTGATAAGCCACATTTCCGCTCTAGGGGTTGGAGCTCTTCTTCGTTTTGGTTATTGCCTGAGGCTGGTGGCACCACAAACTCCCCCAAGTTTTGCTGTAAGGTGGGGCCTGTACTTGGAGGTTCATGGTACTTATTAACCAATTATAACTGCACTTATAACCCACTTATAAGCCCCTTAAGTGCCCTCATATGGTTATAAGTACAGTTAGTTAAGAGTACAGTTCTAATTGGTTAATGAGTACCATGAACCTGCAAGTAGGTACAGCATCGATCAGGGCAAGACCCCCATTGTGGGCAGGCTTTCTACACTCTATACTGTTTCTGCACTGAGCCGAAGCCCTCAAGCATTACTTAGCCATGTCATGAAGTAGGAGCCCACAGTGCCCATACCTCACAGTTTGAGCAATTTGCCTAACGACCTGAAGTTCGCAATCAGGACCTCTACCTCGTTTAAGGTCTATTCCTGAACCAAGGGTATTGGGCTCCTGGTTCAGGAGCTGGAGCTTTGCGATATACACTTCTGCGACACCGAGCCGCTCGGCTTAAGACCTGCCGCCGTGGGTAGTTGTTCCGTGCGTTAGCAGATGTTTGTGGGTAGCATATACTAGTACGGTGCACTAAAAATCGTAAGCCCTACACTTCTACTCTCGCCCTCAGCTCGTAACTCGAAACCTCCCGTTGAAGCCCCAAACCCTGCAACCACGAACATATCAAGCTCAGAAAAGCAAAAACCCTACACCCTAAACCCTAAAGATAACCCCTAAACCCTAACCCCTTGTCACAGGTACTTCCTCTCGGACGACAGCGATGTCTGGTCCCGCGTGGCTGCAGAAGCCTTTCGGGAGAGCCCAGGGTTTAGGGTTTAGGGTTTAAGGGCTTGTGTGGGGTTTAGGGGTTTAGGGGTGTAGGGGTGTAGGGGTGTAGGGGTTTAGGGGTTTAGTTTAGGGGATTAGGGGTTTCGAGGTTTAGGGGTTTGGGGCTTTAGGGGTTTAGGGGTTAAGGGTTTAGGGGTTTAGCAGTTTAGGGGTTAGGGGTATAGGGTTTAGGGTTCAAGGGCCTTTGGAGTCAACTTGGCGGTTCATGGGTAATTATCAGTGGGTTATGTGAGTGAATGAACTAGAAGGTCATAAGATGCCCCCTTAAGTGTAACCCTGCTTATAGCTCCCCATGCACCTTCAGGCAGGCATGTGCCTGGAGCTTTGATATGCTTCATGCAGATTTCAGGCTGCGGGCTCGGGATTTGGAGCAGGGTGGGTTTAGGTTTTAGAGGTTAGAGCTTAGGGTTAAGAGGGTAGAGTTTAGGGACTTCAAGGGACGTTGCAGAGCAGAGACCTCACAGGACACGACCTTTGGCATGGTGGACGTCCGGATCCTTTCCTCGGGCAGGTTGGCCCTGCGAGAGATTCTCACAGGTTTTGGGGTTTGGGGTTTCGGGTTTAGGGTTTCAAGTTTCAGGAGTGTTTCGGGTTGGCTATTGTTCAAGGGGCCTGGGCAGTATGGGATCTTTAGTTCAGTAGGACACGTTTCCTGTAGTTCGCCCCCAGCTTTAGACCCCGAATTTGGGTCGAGCTTGCTCGATCCAGACGAGCTACGGGTATACACCCCCACACAGTCCCAAACTGAAATCCGAAGAGGATCCGCAGAGTCAGGAGTAAAAGTTGGGAATGTTTCGGAGGTTCATAAAGTTGAAACAGACTGAAAGGGTAGCTGGTGCTTGGGGGAACCTTATGTTGAGTGTTTGATTGTTTGGGAGGCGCTTCTTGTCGCACACATGGGGGCTCTGAAGCACAGTGGTAGGCCAAGTAGGCTCATGTTTGACCCCGAGAGGGGCCCCCCATATCGCCCTTTTCGGCTTTTCAAGTGAGCCGATACCTTTTGAGACCACCAGGGCCCCTAAGAACCCGAGATTGAGTGCCTGGATACATGGATCAACTTGAGTGCGTGGAAGTGAATCTTGGCTCCGAGTAGGTTTCTACATCTTGGGATTGGCAGTTGCCGCGCCAGGATGTACTACGATCCGCAGGGACCCCTGCGCCCGTCAGGGTCTTCGCAACCTCCATTTCGAATACATGTAGCAAGCGGCGGTGAAGCTGGAAGCATCACCGCCCCTGCCCTCTTCGCAGCGTCATCCCTTTATTTCTGTGACAACTGTTCGCGAGTCGTGTCACGAAAGGATCTGGCCGAAGAGGTAGATTCGTACTATTGCCCGCATTGTTTGGAGAACATGCCCTCCAGCGAGGCCATGCTATGCGGCATGAGATGCTCGAAATGCTGGGAATGCCCCGTGTGTTCCAGCACACTGACGCCCTGCATTGCCAATCCCAGCTCCAAGGAGCAAACGTACCATTTTGCCTGCAGCTTTTGTCGCTGGAGTTCCCGCGGCCGCCAGGAAGCCGAGAAGCCCGAGCAGCTACTTGGTAGCCCAGTGGTACCATTTTCCTTTTTTTGGTTCTGGGTGCCCTTATACAGTAACCAACCAAAAAAAGGGTGCCCTTAGTATAAGATGGTTACTGGGCTACCAAGGTTAATTACACAGATCGTCGCTCTGGAAAGAGAGAGCGAGCCACGTCAACGGATGTTGGCGATGGTCGAGGCCTTCCGCACCAAGGCACAGGACCAGCAGCGCGAGAAAGAGTTGGCGCAACGCTTGAAGAGACGTTCGTTGACTCGAACATCCTTTTCCTCTGCTTCCTTGACGGCCTTCGCTGCGCGCCGCTTCAGCTCAGCTGTGTCAATGCGGGGGAGTGCTCGCTTGTCCATGGGCAGTTCTGTCTTCTCTTTGGGAGGCGGAGAACTCGGCAAGAAAGTCGTTTCAGGGCCCTGGAGCATTGACGACCTGGAAGCCAAGTTGGCGGAGCAAGAAGAGAAACAGAAGGACCTGCGGGCCGACGCATCTTTGGCTGCTGCGTCTGCCAAAGACTCGCCGGAGGCTTCGGATGTGGGGGCCAAAGACAGTCCCACAAAACGGTTCAGCTTTGCTAGCCATGCCACATCTTTCGATGTGCCAGTCTTAGCCGGCTTGTCTGTTCAAGAACTCATGCGTGCTCACACTGAGCCTTTCTCGAAAACGCCCGAGAGCACATTGCTGGCTGAGTTGCAGTCGAGCATCGACTCGGATGCGAGCGTCGATCGCGAAAGCGCCGGTGATTGCGCGTCGCTGGGCATGCGCTTGCTTCAAGTGTCATACGGGTATCACGGCATCCCCTTCGACTCCACAAGACAGCAGCCTCCCAATGCTCTTCGGAGAGGGCAGTCGCAGTTGGAGGCCCCTCTGCAGCACAAACACGCCTGGAAGCTGCTTCCTGTCCGCAAGCCCCTCTTAACCAAGCGGTCGCGCCGGTGCAAGCTGCTGTGCACTCCCGACGGCGACTCCGAAGTGGCAAAGGTTTGCAAAGGTCTGGTGGTGAAACCGAAGATCAATCCCTGTGCCAACCCGCCATTTCAGAAGAACTCCATCGCTGCCAGCATTCTTCCACGAGTCGTCCCATGGAGCTGCGGGAGTGGACCTGGTGAAGATGAGATGAATATTGTTTCTAGGACCTTCCTAAGTGGCACAACTTGCTTTTCTTGGGGGGGGGGGGGGGGGGGCTGGTTTTCCCTTTTAAGTATTTATGCTCCAGCATCAGAAGTCCACGAAACGAACAAAAACGGCTCTCCTCTTTCCCATAGTACAACCCTAAACCCTAAACCCTAAACCCTAAACCAGTGAACCTAGGTGCTAATCCTGGCCAACCCAATGGAGACGGATGTGGAGATCGACTTGGAACCCATGGCGTTCAACAAGGGCGCCGCGAGCCCCCAGGAGGCGTTCGCTGCGCAGCCTTGGCAAAGCTTGCTTGCGGGACAATCTGTTGCTTGGTGGTTTAGGGTTTAGGGTTTAGGGTTTAGGGTTTAGGTTTAGGTTTAGGGGTTAGGGTTTAGGGTTTAGGAGCCCAGTGGTACCCTTTACCCTTTTTTGGTTCTGGGTTCCCTTATAAAGTAACCAACCCAAAAAAGGGTGCCCATATTCTAATATGGTTACTGGGCTACCCAGGTTGAGGTGCTCACGCCCGCATTCTCGACCACACTTCCCAAGTCCCTGGATGAAGCACCCGAAGTCTTTGAGGAAGACGCCAAGAAACACGCGGCCAAAGACAACCCCGACATTGTGGTGCAGCGCAAGATGAATAAGATTTTGGTACGCCTACGTTTCCGGAAGGAGCCGGCGGCCAAGACATGGGCGTTCTTTGCATACATGAAGATGAAGTTTCAGGTTTCTTTCAGCGACACGGACACGAAGAGCCATGAAGTGCGCGTTGTGCTTCACTTTGGGTCAGAAAGTCCGGAGGATGCGCAGACAACGCACACAAGTCGCACTGGCGTGGCAGGATCTTTGATTTCTTGATGGTGAGGCGGCTCAGCTTAAAATGCGTCAAGGCGGAGTGTTTCACCATTGACATGCAATTGAAAAAGAGCAGTGGCTTTTAAACAAATCAAGATTGGAGACGGCCCTGACGATGCATTACTATACATGCTTCAAGGGGCCTGCCAATCAAGTTCGTGTGATCGGCTGAAGTCTGGTTGATCTCCAACTTAGCCTCTTGAGGGTTTCTGTCTTATTCGATGAGGACAGGCAACACTACTTTCGCATGGCTTTCTGAAGCAGGGGATGTTGGCGGGCAATCTGCCCTCTTGCTGGGTGACAATCATTTGGGCCGGCTCGCTTTGCCAGGTACGTGCAGAGACGGGTCTCTTCGAAGGCCTACCAAGCGGCGAACAAGGCGACTCGAAGCGTCACCACATGAGCTACAAGCCTACCCAAAGGCTCCAATGTAGTTCCTTTTAGGGTTAGTTATAGGGGATTCTAGTATACTACCCCAAAAAGGTACTACATAGGAGCCTTAGGGTAAGCCCTTTTAGGTCCGGACGCGTGCACGCGAGCTTCGTTCTGATAAAGTGTTTCATGCATGTTGGAGTATCCTGCGTGTCTGCCATGTGAAGCCCTCCCCAGCCAGTGGCAGTGTCACCACAGTTAGGGTTTAGGGTTTAGGGTTTAGGGTTTAGGGTTTAGGGTTTAGGGTTTTGTAGGGTTTAGGGTTTAGGGTTTAGGGTTACCCTAAACCCTAAACCCTAAACCCGTCAGGAGTTCCCACTGCCCAGCGAGGGCATCATTGCCATCTCTGGAGGACATTTTCAACCTCCCACTGCTGTCCGCCACAAAACCACAAAGCTGGCAAGTGTCCCCACCTGACTGCTCTACCCTAAACCCTAAACCCTAAACCCTGAACCCTGAACCCTAAACCCCAAACCCCAAACCCCAAACCCCAAACCCCAAACCCCAAACCCCAAACCCCAAACCCCAAACCCCAAACCCCAAACCCTGCCTTACGGCAGCAAGTCCTACCTCCCCTTGACCCTGCAAGCTCTTCATCCCAGAGCCCGAAAAACATTGAACCGTATATACAGTCTTAATCCCGGAGCCCTAGAAACCCGAAACCCTGAAGCCGTAGCCCGGGCCTGGAAATGCTAAACCCTAAACCCGAAGCGCGTAACCTACAGAGCCTCAAAGCCTCCAAACTTCGTAGGAAACGGCGCCCTGGGCCTGGTTATGGGCAATTGGCTCCTGGACAAGGCGCGCCGGTAGTTCGTTTTAGGGTTTAGGGTTTCGGGTTTTACTTCGGGTTTGGGGTTTGTAGGGGCCCCTGCTTTGGCTCTTAGTGGGCCTTTGGCGTTTTGTTTCCAGAGCTTGGGGGTTAGAGTTTCGGTTGCAAGTTTATGGGGCTCCCAATGTGGCGTTTATGTCATGAAGGCTGCAGGGATCGGAGTTCTCCGATGTTTAGGGTTTAGGGTTTAGGGTTTGGGGTTTAGGGTTTGGGGTTTAGGGTTTGGGGTTTAGGGTTTGGGGTTTGGGGTTTAGGGTTTGGGGTTTGGGGCTTACCGGATTTCCAACATCTCCGAGCTGGCCAAGGCGGTCGGAATTTGTTCTCAGCTAGACGGCGTCTTCACTGCTCAGCCCCTCATTTCCTTGCTTCGCATACCCGAAGCCTAACCCAAGCAACAAGGGCGAGGCTATAGGCCTAAAGCCACCTAAAGCCGACCCAACCCTGAACCCCAAACCCGGAACCCTAAACCCCAAACCCTAAACCCCAAACCCCAAACCCTAAACCCCAAACCCTCCTCCTTTCTCCGCTCTGGGAGGCTGCCGAGCAGGGAGTCGGCGGGTTTGAGATCAAGTTCCTCTCCCGTTCGATGAAGATCTCCGCCCTCCGGCGCTTTCATTGGGTAGGTTGCCACGCTTCAGGATTCAGGGCCCCAAGGGCTTAGGGTTTAGGGTTTAGGGTTCAGGGTTCAGGGTTCAGGGTTTAGGGTTGAGATATGTTGGACTGCAAGAACTTTCCGAGTTCTTGTTGGTATTCATGGTACACCAGCCCAACAAAGCTCCACACCAATCGGGCAATTCCTTGCAGAGGAATCTAGGGGGTCTTGATAAGAATCGGCACTTGCTTTGTGGCGTAAGCTCCACCAAAGCCCAACAGCCCTGAAGCGGCCAGTGAAACCCTAAACCCTAAACCCTAAACCCTAAACCCTAAACCCTAAACCCTAAACCCTAAACCCTAAACCCTAAACCCTAAACCCTAAACCCTAAACGCAGAGTTCAGATGCTGAAGCCCAGGACTTGAACATGCCACTTTGGAAAGACATCGAGGCGAAGGCTGCAAAGCTGGGCATCAAAGTCGAGCAAGGACGGCCTTGGTCAATGTCAAAGAATGCTGGGTTTAGGGTCTAGGGTTTAGGGTTTAGGGTTTAGGGTTTAGGGGTTTTAGGAGGGCCTTCAAGCCACAACCTACCTAAAGCCTGGCCCACAAACTCCTATTGTGCCCTCAACGATAATGGAGCCATCAACTCCACCTCCGATCCCCTGGCAGGCAAGATGGACATGTCCTCGCAGGAGGGCTGCAACAAGTTCGTCGAGTCCTGCAACGGCATGCTCAAAGGCTTCATCCATTCCGCGGGCGTTCTGCAAGACTCCATGCCGCTTGGCACCTTTCGTTTGTGACTCACCGGCGCTCAGCCAGGAACTCGGGACACATCCCCCTTTACAGAACCCTTTAAGGGATCTTGAGGTACCTTCTATTCCCCCCAAACCCCAAAACCCGAAAATCCTCATATTAGCTTCCCCTGCCCCCTAAACCCTAAACCCTAAAACCCTAAATCTCCAGAGGCTCATGAACTTGACCTGGGAGAAGTTCGAGACGGTCTACCAGTCCAAGCACCACGCAGCCCTGTTCCTGGGTGTAGGGCATATAGGGTTTAGGGTTTGGGGTTTAGGGTCGAAGGCTTGTAGGCTAGGGTTTACTTGCAGGGTGTACGAATTTGTAGGGCTTGGTAGAGGGTTTGCAGGGCTTGTAGTGTTCATAGTGCTTCTAGGGTTGAGAGAGAGCATAGATCATGTCCCATGTCTAGTGCTCATGGAAACTACCCAAAGGCTCCAATGTAGTTTCTTTTTGGGTTAGTTATAGGGGATTCTAGTATACTATCCCACAAAAGGTACTACATATGAGCCTTAGGGTATCCATGAAGCATGTCCAGCGGCTGTAAAGACGCACAGCTCAGGTTCTTGCATCAGGCATTGGAGCTGAACCCGCAGAAGGACTTGCGGTTCCCAGACTGCTTTCGCCAGGTGTTTTTTTTTAAGAACAATTCTCCAATCCTCTTAAATGGCAGGGGGCCAGAGTAGTTGTGATTTTTTGGTGGTTGAAGTTGCATGTGAGGTTCATGTGGAATTTCTCCTCCACGTCTGTGTACGGCAACATGGGGCAGCTGAACTACTCCGGCTCCAACTCCTTCCTGGACGTTCTCACGCGCCATCGCAAGGCCTCCACCAGACCTTCCCCGAAACCCTGTCACCCTAAACCCTAAACCCTATAACCCTAAACCCTAAGCCGTAAACCCTCAAAACATGTATAGACTGCAAGCCCCAGCGGCATGGCGGCTGTGTAGTCCCCCCTCCCCCCTCCTTCAACAAAAGCGCAAACCTTCAATAGCAAACACCTCTAAGTCCCCAAGGCCGAAAGGCCTAGAATCCTAGATCCCTAACCCCACAGTCCCTAAACCCCTAAATGCCTTATTACTCTTATTATCCCTCTTAACAATTAGGCCCTAAACCTCGGAAGGCCAAGGGCCGACCATCCCTGGCCATTCAGTGGGGCGCCTGGGGCGACGTGGGGATGGCCGCGACCATGACCCGCCGAGGGGGGGAGGGGGGTGGGGGGGGGTAGGGGGGATGGGGGGGGAGGGGATGGCGTTGGGTTGAGGGTTCAGGGTTCAGGGTTTTTGGGTCCTCCGTGAGCAGATCGACAGCAGTAAGCAGGAAGAAGTAGGGTGACTAAGTAGGATAGCCCGCCTACTTAGCCCCAATCCTCCAAGTTATCTTCACTCAGTAACCCCTCCCATAGTATCTAGTGTGTTGAGTGTTTTCATCGGAGGAAGCCAGGGTCTTCTGCCCTTCTGCTCACTGGATCTTACTGGTTCTGTGTAGGGTTGAGGGTTCAGGGAGTGGAGCTAAGGGCTCTGGCTTTGCAATTTCTGCGCTCGCATCGCCTTAACAAGTAGGTGTGGTGTGACTACCCCGAAACCCTAAACCCTAAACCCTAAACCCTAAAACCCTAAACCCTAAACCCTAAACCCTAAACCCTAAACCCTACTTCCTTCCAAGTGGAGAGATCCGTAGTGTCTGCGGAGGACCGACGCCATGCGTCTGCGCACCATGAACTCGCCCATGCCCTACTTCTCCAACAAGGAGGGCCTGTGCCCCGTCTGCAGCGCATCGGGGGTTAGCCCTACGGCTCCTGTGTAGTACCTTCTTGGGGTAGTATACGAGAATCCCCTATAACTAGCCGAAAAAGGAAGTACGTTGGAGCCTTTGGGTATAGGTTCTAGGGAACGGGGCTTGTAGGGGGTTTAGGGTGTTAGGGCTTAGTTTAGGGTCTAAAGTTTAGGTCAGATCCCACGGCCTAGAGCAACCCTGTACCTTAGCGTTTAGGCATGGTTCTAAACATAGGCTGCCCCCTAGATGCCCAAAGCACCAGCATCCTTGTCACACGGCAAAAATGGGAATCCTGACTTTTGAGACCCAACGTCCCTGACTGCTTCCCTTGCACCGGACCGCACCATGGGGGTGGGGAGGGGCCGGACACGCCAGACGCCTGAACAGATGGGTTAGCTTGTGCCGAGCTCTAGTGCAGTCACACCTGGTCTTTTCCGAAATAGCTCGAGTCCAAAAGTGAACATGCCAAGTTTAGGATTTCAGGTCCCGAAGTGGCTTGGGGTTTAGGGTATAGGGTTTAGGGTTTAGGATTTAGGGGTTTAGGGTTTATGGTTTAGGGTATATGATCTTAGGCGCCCTATAGGTCCTTTAGCCTGGAAGCTCTCCACCCTCTGAGCCCCTCAGGTTTACGAATTTAGGGGGGGGGGGGGGGGGTACCCTTTTGGGGGTTCCTGTAATGAGGATTATACTATCTTAGGGTATATTGAGGGTACCTATTTGTTTGAGAAGACCCCCACCATAAAAAATGTACAGAATATTCTTCCTGATAAAGGTAACATAGGGATTAATTTACATGTTTGGTGGGGGTTCTTAAGCAAACTGTAGCTACATCCTAAAGCCCTTGTAATACCAAATTTATACCCTCCAAAGGCCCAAAATGGGCATTTCCCAATTTCGCAAACCCCCCTAAACCCTAAGCCCCAGATACCTTAGCCGCCGCCTCGGAGGTACGGCCTCGAGTGCGGCCTAGCCACAGGCCTTGCCTACTTCAGCGTCTTCAAGTTCAATCCACAGGCATCTTCGCGGGGTTTAGGGTTTAGGGTTTAGGGTTCAGGGTTTAGGGTTTAGGGTTTAGGGTTTGCATGGGGTTTGGGTTTTAGGGTTTAGGGTTTAGGGTTTAATTAGGCTTCGGGGTTGGTTCAGAGTGCAAGGCTTTGTGGAGTGCAGAGGTTGGTCAAGATTCTAGTGCTTGCTGCCGAGTTTTTCAAGTTCATGGGCTCGGAGGCGGAGAGTAGAGGATGTAATGATGTAAGCCTCAGCCTGAACCCTGTAAAAGCCCTAAACCCTACGGCAAAAACCCTAAATCCTGAATCCGCCTTCGTCCTCCAAGCCTTGCGCGTGCGCGCGCACGTTCGCACGGAATCTCCGAGGTGATGATGGGCTCGGTCCAGCCCCCAGAGCCGGTCCAAGCATGCTACCACCGCAACCACTACTGCGAGGCCAGATTAGGGTTTTGTGGAACCCTAAACCCTAAACCTTAAACCTAAACCCTAAACCCTAAACCCAAGGGTTGGGGTTTGAAGGTTGAGACTTCGGGGGTTTCCAAAAGATTTAGGGCAGAGGGGCTTTGTGGTTTTGAAAGGTTTTAGGGCTCAGGGTCGTACGGGATTTAAAGTGCTTATGAGCTTACTGCAGGGTCTAGGAGTTCTAGGCATCCCTTTTTGGGGGTTCTGGTTTCCACTATGAACTAAACATAAAAATGGCGACGGATTCAAAGTGGCCTCGTATAGGTCTTAGCATGCTTTTCATTTGGGAGTTCCTGGGCCCCTACATGGAAAAGAAGCGTAGTTTGCCCAGCTACTTAGAGCCTCGGGATCCAGTTAACACTCCCAGTGTTAGCGTGGCAAGCGTAACAGCTTTGATCAGATGTTTCCGATTGCCATTCATGCTGCTTGCTTGGTGGTTATACCGAGAGTTGTCAGCTGGATTGCGGTCAGATTGCAGTCCAGATGCACAAGACTATTCTGACAGGACGTGTGGCTTGTTGCTCTCCGTGACTGTCTGTCTATCTTTGATTCGAAGTTTTTCCGCAACTTCCCTTCAACATCCTGCAAAGCAGCTCTTATTGGACTTTTTTCAACATCAAGTATCCCAACACAAAGTGCCCATGAGCTCTCATCTAATCCTGGAGGAGTCCGGAAGCTGAGCCTTAGAATCCCCGATGCACGGACCTGGAGGTCTGCCCCACGCCCATGGCGCCCGCCCTTGAGCGAAAGCACTACTACACCATCTTCCGGATGGCGAAAGGCTTGCTGAGGTTTAGGGTTTAGCGTTTAGGGTTTATTGTTTACGGTTTAGGGTTTAGGGTTGCTCGGGGCCGGTTGACCACGTGAAAGGAGATGGGGGCTTCCGAACTTAGGGGCACCTGTTAAAGAATCACCGTGTGGGATTCGATGCAGTCTCGGAGTTTCGCCCAAATTCTACTTGAACAGAGGGCTCATGCCTGTAATTGGCAGAGGCCGTTTGCTGCCGGTGTGGGGGCAGATCCAAAATATATGCACTCATTTTTGATCTCTCAGTGTAGATTTACCAAGAAGGCAACATCACCATTGCTTCGACCGCCACGGCCCGGCACGAAATTTGCTGTTCTCTCCAAATGGGGGGGCTTTACGAAAAGAAGGGACCCCCTGATACAGACCCCCGAATAGTAGGATCCCCTTACATACAAGGACCGATGGGGAAGAAGCTCCACAATCTCTCACCTGGTCCAGGGGTTCCGGGATTGACATGAACTGTAGGCCACCAACCTGCCTGGTCACGACTTGGGTCAATTCTCTACATATGGGTTTGTGTTTTTTTGGGGTAAGGCACAGTGTTTTTGGGGGTAAACCAGAAGGGCACACCCCGAAACATACCCCCGAAACATACCCCGCAACATACCCCCGAAATTGCAGGTAAAGTAGCTCATGATGCGCGAAACATACCCGAAACATACCCCCGAAACATACCCCGAAACATACCCACGAAACATACCCCGACCCCAACACCTGTCGCGCGCCTCCCCATGAAGATACAAACCCATATATATATATATGCTCACCCCCCCCCCCCTCGACAGACCCCCGGAAGCAAAAAAAGGGCTGAGGGCGCGACGGACAGCATAGCTGCACACAGTAGCCAGACACGCTAACAAACAATAGAGATATATGGTACCCCCCCTCCCCAAAGATCTATACTTTTTTGCTTTGTTTAATGCCTTTGATGTCTTTCTCTGTTGTTGTATGTTTTTCTTTTGTTGTCTGTTAAACCTATGTGTTTCTATTTTAAAACCCTTACTGAAATATTGAATGTCCAGAAGGGTTGGCATTATTGAAACCCTTGTTGAAATATTGAATCAACAAGGGTGGTCATTATTGAAACCCTTATTGAAATATTGAATTTCAATAAGGGTTGGCATTATTGAAACCCTTCTTGAAGTATTGAACTTCAATACGAGTGGTCATTATGGAAACCCTTATTGAAATATTGAATTTCAATAAGGGCGGAACCAAGAACTAAGAACTAAGACTGCCAGGGACTCTTGGTCTGAGTTCTTAGTTCCTAGTACAGCCCTTATTCAAATTCAATATTTCAATAAGGGTCTTAAAATAGAAACACATAGGTTTGGATTCTTAGTTCCTAGTACCGCCCTTATTGAAATTCAATATATTTCAAAAAGGATTTCAATAAGAGGTAACCCAGGAACTAAGAATCCGTACCGGATAGAGGTCTCATTCGTTTGAAAGGAATTCCTATTGGTTTAGGCTCATATTCATTTAGTAGGATTCCTACTAATTCTTGTTAAACGAATCTTATTTTTCATAGGAGTCCTTTTAATTCCTATTGATCTTCACTGCGTTCTTTTGATTTGTTAAGGGTTCCTATTCAATTTAATGGGCTTTCTACTAGCTTCCCCGATAAATTTCGTAGGAGCCCGAAAGATTCCTACTTATTTTCATAGGATTCCAGTGAAGTTTCATATGGTTCCTAATTATTTTGATAAAGCTCCTACTACTGCAATAAGACTCATATCAATTTCAGAGCTCTTACTCATGATATGTGGATTCGTATTAATTTTAATAAGGATCTGATTCATTTGAAAGGGATTCCTATTGGTTTAGGCTCATATCATTTTTAATAGGATTCCTATTAGTTAAGGGTTCACATTCGTTATAGGAGTCCCATTGGTTCCTATTAATTGTAGTAGGGGTCCTCTTCAGTTTATTAGGATTCCTATCAACTATCATAGGGTTCTCATTAACGTGGGCAGAAGCGCAGCATCAAGCACTTTTCCTCGCACTTCCGTAAGCAACTCCAGTAGCTGTTGCTAGCATAGCTCTCTGTGTTTTTAATATATTTCATATTTCTCATGAGTGTAGAACCCCTAAAAGAATCTCACCAAAACCTGAGTTTCCAAAAATCCAAAAATCCAAAAATCCCAACCCAAGTTTCGGATTTTTGGAAACTCGAGGAATTTGCTCAAAATCCAAAAAACCCAAAATTCCTCGAGTTTCCAAAATCCAAAAATCCAAAAATCCCAACCCAAGTTTCGGATTTTTGGAAACTCGAGGAATTTGCTCAAAATCCAAAAAAAACCCAAAATTCCTCGAGTTTCCAAAAATCCAAAAATCCAAAAATCCCAACCCCAGTTTCGGATTTTTGGAAACTCGAGGAATTTGCTCAAAATCCAAAAAAACCCAAAATTCCTCGAGTTTCCAAAAATCCAAAAATCCAAAATTCCCAACCCCCGTTTCGGATTTGTCGAAACTCGAGGAATTTGCTCAAAATTCAAAAAATCCCAAAATTCCTCGAGTTTCCAAAATTCCAAAAATCCAAAAATCCCAACCCCAGTTTCGGATTTTTGGAAACTCGAGGAGTTTTGGGTTTTTTTGGATTTTGAGCAAATTCCTCGAGTTTCCAAAAATCCGAAACTGGGGTTGGGATTTTTGGATTTTTGGATTTTTGGAAACTCGAGGAATTTTGGGCTTTTTTTGGATTTTGAGCAAATTCCTCGAGTTTCCAAAAATCCGAAACTGGGGTTGGGATTTTTGGATTTTTGGATTTTTGGAAACTCGAGGAATTTTGGGTTTTTTTGGATTTTGAGCAAATTCCTCGAGTTTCCAAAAATCCGAAACTGGGGTTGGGATTTTTGGATTTTTGGAAACTCGAGGAATTTTGGGTTTTTTTGGATTTTGAGCAAATTCCTCGAGTTTCCAAAAATCCGAAACTTGGGTTGGGATTTTTGGATTTTTGGAATTTTGGAAACTCGAGGAATTTTGGGTTTTTTTGGATTTTGAGCAAATTCCTCGAGTTTCCAAAAATCCGAAACTGGGGTTTTGGGATTTTTGGAATTTTGGAAACTCGAGGAATTTTGGGTTTTTGTGGATTTTGAGCAAATTCCTCGAGTTTCCAAAAATCCGAAACTGGGGTTGGGATTTTTGGATTTTTGGAATTTTGGAAACTCGAGGAATTTTGGGTTTTTTTGGATTTTGAGCAAATTCCTCGAGTTTCCAAAAATCCGAAACTTGGGTTGGGTTTTTTTGGATTTTTGGATTTTTGAAAACTCGAGGAATTTTGGAGTGGTGCTCTTCCCCCCCCCCGCTTCCTGGACAGATCGGAAATACAATTCCGGGGTCTGTCGAGGGGGGGGGGGTGACCATATATATATATACATATACATATATATATATGTGTGTGTGTTTGTGTATTTGATTCATTCGTTTTTTGATTTGCCCGATTTCTTTTGTTTGCTTGGGGGGGGGTCTCTGTTGTAGCATGTATGCTTCAGGAGTGTAGCGTAAAAATGACGGAGCTCCAATTGGTTCATCCCCCCCGGTGCAAGTTATGGAGCTGCCACAGACATGCCAGGCCAGCAGACTCGGAGCATTTCAGCTGTGCCGCTGGTCTACAACGCCTACGTCAAGGTGCCAGCAAGGGTAGCAAAGTGACGGTTTTGGGGTTTAGCTGTTTGTTCCCTTTTGTTTCGGGTCTGCAGGGCTTGCAGAGGTGTAAGTATAGGATGTTGGCTGAACCTTACAACGTCCTGTCCGTTTATAATTCGCGAATATTCATGCTGGTTCATGTCTGGAGGTCGAAAGAATTTTGAAGAAGATTGCTTGGAGCCTTGGGCTACAGGACCTTCCGATAGGCGCAACAACCTGCCTGTTCACAGGCTGCTGCTGCAAAGCACGCGGCTGAATGGAGCGACGATTTCCGACAATGGTAGGTCCATGAGAGAAGTCTTGGGAAGCTCTGGGCAGAACCTGGGCCACTATTGCTAGCAAGGTGTACACCGCAGGCTGACTTGTAGGTTTGAGGGCACTTGGCATCTGCTGCTTGCAGGTTCTCCCCATATCGCGAGTAGCAGCATAGTGCAGGAGGCTGTATGCACTGGGCGCCGATTCCCAGGCATTCCTGTAACTTCTCGAAGCAAAATTTGCCGCAACCCACAGCCTTACCCTTCAGTGCCCTAAACCCTATAAATGCTGCCTGAAACCCAAATCCCAAAACCCACCAACCCCAAGATACCAGTGCGTTCGCGCACTTCCGGAGATGGTGAGAGAGAGGAAGTCAAGGCCGGTCTTCCACTGTTGCGCATCGGATTTGGCACCCGCCAGCAGCAAACAAAAAGTGGAGAACACACCCGGGATGGGGGGTTCAGGGTTTGGGGTTTAAGGTTTAGGGTTTAGGGTTTAGGGTTTAGGGTTTAGGGCCTAGGGTTTAGGGTTTAGGGTTTAGGGTTTCGGGGGGTGAATGACCAGGCTGCCTAGTTCAGCCGGAGCTTCTTTAATGGGGCTTTTTTGTGAGGATTGCGCTGGACTGGACTGGAGAGCTATACCCGAAGGCTGCTATGTAGTACCTTTTTGGGGTAGTATCCTAGAATCTCCATAGCCAGCCGCAGCTAACCCAAAAAGGAACTACATTGGAGCCTTTGGGTTGTCCAGCATGTGGGAGAATCGGGGGTATTTCTTCGAAGCCATGGCCCTTCGCCCGCCGCACGGCCACTGTCAAGACACCCTCAGCCCGAATCCGCCCTAAGCTCGCAAAGCCTGCATCCCCAAACCCTAAACCCTAAACCCTCAACCCTAAAGGCTCTGAAGGGGGCGGATCGGGCCGGGTTTTTTTGGCTGAGAAGGACGTCTGCTTTGGACTACTAAGTCTTCAGCTGGAGACCCTACACCGGTAGCCCTTACAGGTTTAGGGTTTAGGGTTTAGGGTTTAGGGTTTAGGGTTTAGGGTTTAGGGTTTAGGGTTTAGGGTTTAGGGTTTAGGGTTTGGGGTCACCCTGAAACCCTCAAACCCTTAAACCCGAACCTGTAGACCCGTAGAACCTTAAACTCTTAGATCCTGAAACCCTTGAACCCTTAAGCTAAAACCCGAAACCACCCTCAATGAACCCTGACCCCCCCTCTCCCCCCGCATACCCTTTAACCTAAACCCCAAAGCCTAAACCCTGAAGCACTTAGGGTTCGTGTACGTAGGCCCCGAAACATCCCACCCAGCGAGGCTTCTCTGCTGGGCTTCCTGGATGCAGCTACCAGGGGCCTATGTCAGGGTTTAGGTTTAGTTGGGGTTCTCTTGGGCAAGAAACCTTACATGAGGATCAAAGTTCAGAACACCTCTACCTCGTTCTGCCCTCCCTACCCCCCCCCCCCACCCCTCTCCCTCCGTCCTTAACATTTCAAGGCGTTTAAAACGGTCAGCTACATCTGAACTCCAGCTAGGTGTGACGGGATCCCCCCCCCCCCCCCCCCACAAACCTTACGTATAGGCCCCGCTTCCACGCAATAAGGGAGATCTAATCGCGGCCCCATTTTTGTCAGTTGTCCTTCGGTCTTAACCAGGACCCGGAGTAGGCCCTCATTCCCTTTTTTCTTAGGGTTTAGGTTCCCTTATAATCTTTAAACCAAAAAGGGCACCCTTTTTATTCCAATGTTGCTCCTGGGTCTAGTAAACCCCCCCCCCTCGCCCCCCTTTGAAAGACACGGCCCCAAGGTCTCCCCTGTCAAGTGCCTCCAAAATGCTCCATGAGGCAAAGCTCCCGGCAAGCTCCGCATCTACGACCCCTTCTTCTGCGCTGGGGCGGTGGTGAAGCATCTGGGGGAGCTGGGCTTCCCACACGTCTACAACAAGTGTGAGGACGGCTTCGTCACGATGAGCATGGCTACTGGGGGGTCGGGGGTGGGGGGGGGGGGGGGGGGGGGGGGGGGGGGGGGTAGCTTTTAGGGTTAAGCGTCAGCTTGGTGCATCGGTATCATACTCTTCATAGTATGAACTAAGCCAAAGCCATGCGTTGCGTCATAGCATTAACATGTAGAATCATCTTCAAGCACATGCCCAGTAGAGATAGAAGGCAAGTACTGTCTGCCAGCCTGGACTCTAGACAGAAACGACCTCACTCATCAGTTCTTGCCATGGGCGTGTCCAATCTCTGCTCTGGAACCCGCATGCCCAAGCACCAAGCAGCCAGGACTTTTATGCAGTTGCCGAAGAGGGGCGTGCTGGGGGCTTGGACGAAGATGCGTGTCAGTTCGCTGATATCCAGGGAAGGAGCCATCATTCTGTCGACTAAAATGGGAAAGATATTTTTTGTTCGGTTGAAAGTGGGGGGAGATGCCTTCCCCATAATTTATTAGCCGCTTCATGGAGCTACGGTGGTTGGGCTCCGTGTCTTGTTAGGATTGCTGGGCTTTTAAAGACTAGAATAATCGTATGATGATCTACTGATAGAATGCTTGGGGAAGAGAAGAATCGAATAGTGGAGTAAGAGGACAGCTCCTTGTCCGTCTCAGGTCCCCAAGCACGACGTCCTGGTGACAAACCCTCCTTACAGCGGCGAGCACGTGGAGTACCTCCTAAGATTCTGTCGCCACCTGGATGGCAGAGGGGTCTTCCCAGTTCCCAAATAAGGGTTTACCCTAAACCCTAAACCCTATACCCTAAACCCTAAACCCTAAACCCCGTAGCCATTTTGGCTCAAGTTGGCTCTCAGCAAAAGGCTAGTTGCACGCTTGCACGCACAGGTCCTCGAATGGTTCCGTTTTATTTGCGCCCTTCTGTGGCAACATGGTTGCCGGCGCAACATTTGAAGCATTCACGCTCCGATCCGCCGGGCGCTGCTTCGGCCGCCAAGGCGGCGCCAGCAGCGCAGGTTTTCCTGCCACAGGTCACCCGCCTTCCAGCTCCGGGCGCGCTGACAGGCTCCCTTACGTGGGATTTGCACCCTTTGGCACCTCCAGCCATCGTACGGCACAATGCCACGATTGCTGGGGCGGACCAGCCCCGTCTTCAGGGCGAGCCTACCAGCTGGCAGGGCGGTGCATTGCAGATGTCTGAGCCTATGTCCTCCCGTTTGACCATCTCGAGCCATCCATTTTTGCTTCTTCTCCGTCTGGTCTCCCCGACTCTGTCTCTCTTGTTGTCCAGGTCTGTCATGCCAGCTCCGAGGTCATTGTCTTTGGCCACACCCTGTTTGCCGCCCTGCCCGCGCAGGTTCACTTTCTGTCCCCTTGCCTGCAGTCTTCAGGTAAGTTGTCCTTGTTCAGCTTTGCTTGTGCCTTGGATGGCGCCGAGATTTGTCTGCTCCAAGGCCCTGACAGTGCTTGGCTCTGGCACACAGGTTCGGAGCCATTGCACATGCTCTCTCTGAAAGAGAGCTGCACGGGATTGGGCGCCTTGGGTTTGGGGGCGGTTAGGGTTGGTCTTAGAAGGGTTGCTGTTAATGAGCTTCAACCAGTCGTGTGTCGTTTCCTGCAGCTCACTGCCGACTTCCCGGTGGTACAAGGGGACATTGCAGAAGACGCAGTTCTGCTTAAGCTGTGGAAGGCCCATCCCTGGCCCTCATGTTTTGCTGCTGGTGTGAGTTGCCAGCCCGACTCCTGCCTGGGCGAGAATGGTGCCATGAACTCTCGTGCCCTCTCCTTGCCTGCCGTGCTTAAGGCTGGATTGCTCATGGGAGCCCCTTGCATCCTGATTGAATGCGTGTCCGGGGCGTCGAAAGACCAGCAAGTGAGGACCGCGCTCGCCCACTTCACCCAAGCCACCGGTTACTCCTGCAGCGAGGTTTGCCTTGAGTTGGGTCAGGTTTGGGTTTCTAGGCGGTGTAGGTGGTGGGTTCTTCTCACGCGCCCAGACCTGGGTAGTTGCAGCCTACCGGCTTGGACGGTCTCAGGCATTTGGAAAGTTGTCAAAGATGTGCTTGTGGCGCCCCTTGGCCCGGACCCTAAGCTCAGACCCCTTAAACTCACTGCTTATGAGGCCAGAGAATTCAGCATTCGAGCCCCTCTTGACACCTTTCTCTTGCCACAGCACAAGCAGGCGCCTACTGCTCTCCACAGCTGGGGTAATCAGGTGACGAGTTGCCCTTGCGGTTGCCGTGCATTCCCTTTCACAGAGTCCTGTCTGGACCAGGGCATTCATGCTCAACTGGTCATCTGGGACGCCGCTTCAACGCTGCAGCTTGCTGAGAATGTGCGTCATCTCAGTGCGCCCGAGGCTGCTTTGCTGAATGGCCTTGATCCAGCTCTGCCTCGGGGTCCGAATCCATGGCTCGCACTTTGCTTGGTGGGACAACTTGATCCGCTTGGCGCTTGACCCGGATCTCGTTGTTGCCTCGATCCGAAGATCTGGGAGAGGAACGAAGTCCTTGGTGGTGCCGAGATGCTCTTGACCAGGTAGCTGAACTGGAACGCGATGTGGCTCTTGACCAGGTAGCTGAACTGGAACGCGATGTGGCTCTTGACCAGGCTCTTGACCAGGTAGCTGAACTGGAACACGAGGCGGCTCTTGACCAGGTAGCACTGGACGATGTGGCTCTTGACCGGGTAGCGCTGGAACACGATGTGGCTCTTGACCAGGTGGCGCTGGACGATGTGGCTCTTGACCGGGTAGCGCTGGAACACGATGTGGCTCTTGACCAGGTGGCGCTGGAACACGATGTGGCTCTTGACCAGGTAGCGCTGCTGGAACACGAGGTAGCTCTTGAATCTCCAGGAGGTTCGTTAGCTCGCCCATCCATGCCAGCCGGTGTCTGCCTCATCGCCCTCAGAGCCCGATTCTCCTCCATGAATGCCTGCATTCGATCTTGCTGTTCTCGCATCCTCCACTTGCTTTCTCACTTCTGCCTGCAAGTCACTTCCAGCTGAGCTGCCCGCCTTTGGTTGCCCACCATGTCCCAAAACCTCCGGGTAGGGTGGTCCGTACAGAAGAGGGTAGGCCTGTTGTGAGGCCTGCGTCGCCAAGAGCTGCTGCTGGTTGAACAGGGGGGCATGTGAGGATCCTGGATGGCTCCCATCACCAGACCAGGAAGTTGGTATCGGCAGCTGTCCCGGATGAGGAGGGGAGCCACTCATCGGAGAGTTGCTCCAAGTAGACGACTGCTGTGGAGATCCAGGAAGGGGTCCAGCCATTCGAGCTTGACCTCGTGAGGCACCGAAGAACATCTCCCTAGACCCAAGAGGGCCCCGGGTTGCACTCCAGGCTTCTCTCATCCATCGAACACCATTCTGCAGCCAATCCGTTGAGGATGCAACAAACTCCAGTCGGTGATTATAACCGTTCCTCGCGCCCACATCCGGTTGCTGTCCGACAGCATTCGTTGGCCTCGCGAATCCGGTTGTCGCCACTTGGGAACCCAGCTCCATCCCTTCTGCACCACCACGCGGCACACCATCCCAACCACTGGACTGTGCCTCCAAGGTCATGGGATTCATCATCGCAGGGACCAAATCTGCAGCTGTAGCATCCGGATCACCACCAGCCGAAGCGCGCGCTTGGGCTCATAACCTGCTGGGATGCAGTTGGAGAAGTTGCCACGGGGTCGAATGCGCAGGCTATGTCGAATTTCTACCTGGCTTCTCCAATGTCTTGGGGCCCCCTGTTTTAAGAGCAGGGCGTGGCACCAACTTCAGCCTCCACCTGTGAGGCGGGACACAGCTTGAGCAACATGCAGAAAGGGGGGCTCGTCCGCGACTGCCGTCGAGTCCCCAGACCGCAAACTGGCAAACTGGGTTTAGGGTTTAGGTCTTTGGGCTTGGGGTTAAGGGTTTGGGGTTTATATAAAAAGCTTCGGCCTCGCAACCTCAAGATGCGAGGATCTCGCGCAGGCTCATTCGCCGCTAGGTCCAGGCTTCTCTGCCCCCCTGAGCATTCAGCCTCAGACTCTCTTTTGCCACCTGGAGGTTCGAACGCAAAGCCGTTCCTGTTGCTGATGCCCAACTATTTCTGCGCCTGGGGCAGAACTTTAGGCCTTTGGGATATTTCATACTTTTCCCTTATTGGGTTTAAGAGGATCATGTCTAGAATATTTTTCAGAGGGTTTTCAAGGGGCCATCCTAGATTTCAAGCGCCAACCCAACGTAGGTATTCTTCACAGGCTTTAGACCCCAAACCTTACACCTAAAGCCCTAAACCCTGAACCCTGAACCCGAAAACCGGGCATTCTTTGTGTACTTGGAGCCCAAGGGGTTTTTACGGTCTAGTGAGGGGGCTTTAGGGTTTAGGGTGGATGGATGGAAGCCCCACACCGCCCTCAACCCTAAACCCTAAACCCTAAACCCTAAACCCTAAACCCTAAACCCTAAACCCTAAACCCTGAACCCTGAACCCTGAACCCTGAACCCTGAACCCTGAACCCTGAACCCTGAACCCTGAACCCTAAACCCTAAACCCTAAACCCTAGCCCTAAACCCTAAACCCGGTGATTGATTCGGTCGCCCAGGCTCAAAGGACTTCTACGACGATGCCCTTGGTGGCTCCTCCAAGTCCGTGCTTCCCCGGCTTACACTTGGGGTTTAGGGTTTTAGGGTTTTAGGGTTTTAGGGTTTTAGGGTTTTAGGGTTTTAGGGTTTAGGGTTTAGGGCTAGGGTTTAGGGTTTAGGGTTTAGGGTTTAGTTAGGCTTTAGGGTTTAGGGGTTTAGGGTTTTTGGGTTGTAGGGTTGTAAGGTTGTAGGGTTGTAGGGTTGTAGGGTTGTAGGGCTTAGGGTTTAGGGTTTAGGAGAGTTTAGGGTTTTAGGGCATTAGGATGTTGGGGTTTAGGGCTTCGGGCTTACGGGTTTAGGGTTTAGGATGTCGCATTTAAATTTAGGGTTTAGGGTCTTAGGGATTAGGGTTTAGGGTTTAAGGGTCTTTTTTGGGGGGGATTTTGGGTTTTTGGGTTTTTGGAGTTTAGAGCTTCAGGGTTGTAGGGTATTAGGGCTTCAGGGCTTGAGGGTTTTAGGATTCGGGCTGGGGGGTTGATTGCGGCATGAAGTCTCAGGGACAAGACAGCAAAAGCAGCCCAGAGTCTCACAGCAATCTTGCATGAAGTAGGCTTGCAAGAACAAGAAGCGGCCCTAAAGAACCGGCAATGGCAGAACCATGGCCATAAATGGGTGTGAGGTCGCTTGAATCATGAGAGGTGGCTTGGAATGTTCCCCCTTCTACTAGCAGTCCTTATTGGGGATTAATAAAGTACCTGATAAGTACAATCCCTATTAAGGACTGTTAGTAGAAGGGGGAACATCCCAAGAAGTGGCCCTCAAAAATGACACAAAGACAAAAGAAGCGGCCGAGGCTGTACCTATGCCCCCGCAGCTTGTCGATGCTTGAGTTGGAGCATTCGGGTTGAGGGTTTGGGGTTTAGGGTTTGCACCGTCACCCTAGAACCTTGGAGGCTTCATGGTGAAACGTGCAGGGTTCATTAAGGGTCTCAGGGCGTATCAATGAAGGTTTTCAGGGTTCACTGTCCCGCACCTTTATAATAAAGATGTAAGCGCTGCCGAATTAGCCAAGGTTCTCCCCAAATTGTGTCAATTTCAGGTGGGTTGCCGCGGGTGGAAGAGGCACTATCTGGGATTGAACAGTACGGGGTTTCTGCAAAGCCAGTAGCCCAGCGGTTTTGCTAGTTCTGTAAGAGGGTTTCGTTCTGAGGCAAGCGCTACTTCTACTGGACGCCAAAGGGATTGCGCACGCGGTCGCGGGTGCAGTCGCAACACGCCGGAGATGGAGGCAGACCGTCAGACCCATGCAGTCCATAGTTTTCTGCCAGAGGCCGACCGTAGGAGTTGGTTGAATCTTCCGGCTGCGTATGATCACAGTAGTCAGTAGTAGTTTTCGTCTATAAGAAGAAGAGCAGCAACAATACTAGCAGGCCGAATAAGAGTATTGAGAATAGTCACAAGAAGAGAATGATAATAAGAACAATTGTACTCAGAATAAAAAGACAAGGCGAGAACTACTAAATGAGATGGAGAAAGGAATCGACGATTCACGTAAATAGTGCAACAGCCACAACAACAATGATGGTGCTGTCCTTTGCCGTCCCCGGAGTGCGGAATCCATGGCAGCTGCGGTCAGCTGCGTGCGCAGGCAACCGAACTTCGCCTTTCATCAGCTTCTGGTACATAGACCTGTCGCCACTCCTGTCGGCGAAGGCCCTCCTGCGCTGGTGGCAGGACTGTCCAAAGCTTCCAATACCTGCGCACTGCCGCAAATGTCTAGGTTGCAACTATTGCCAGCTCGCGTCTAGAGTTGCACTACATCCTCAAAGAAACACACGAGACACTGGGCACGCAGGCGTAATTACCCGAGTGGGACATCAAACCTTTTCAACCCTTGACGGGCTTCGTTTCGACATGATTGTGCAGGAGGGCGCCGCCGGTGAAGGATCGAAGCTTTGCGCCTTGGGCGTTTAACCGGTCTCCGGTATTTGGGTCGAACGTTGCTTTAGTTGCTTTAGGCGGCAGGACGTTTGGCATTTTCCGGCTGTGCAGCAAACCTCAGCAACCAGCTTGCTGCAAGTTCATGCGTCTAGAGCTGTTGCAGTCAAAAGCATGTGCGGGTTTACGAAAATAGGGGACCCCTAATATAGACCTCCGAAAAATTAGGATTCCCCTATAATACGGACCCAACAAGGTACCCCTAATGTCGGAACCCCCCTATGGTTACCCCTAAACCCTAAACCCTAAACCCTAATAAGGACCCAAAAAAAGTTCCCCTAATGTCGGAAACCCCCAAGTGTGCTTGCCAGGCCGGCTATCGGAACTGCCGAGAAGTTGCCAGCCGTGAGACGACGTTGGGAAAATCATTGGCGCAGGGCTTGTTGCCTCCCATACTTCGGAACCCCTTTAAAGAAGGTAAGGGCCCATATGAAGGGCCTAGCCTAGCATTTCTTTAAACAAATAGAAAGCCGATCATTGCTGGATCGTTGCAGCCAAAGAGTGGAGCTTTGGATGGAAATACACTACTGAGTTGCTGAGCTGGACCAATCGCGTAGATCTGTCTATCCACAGATAACTTGGAGAAACACAGCAGAGATATGCAGAAGTAGACCCCCAAGCTGCAAGCTGCCAAAGCCCGCAATGCCACAGCTGTCCCGAATTTTTTCTCTGGGTCCGAATCATGGTTGTGTAAAGGGTGCATCCTTAAGAGGAGGCTACGTCGCATGGAGCCACTGGCGACTCTGTACCTCTTTGTCCAACTGAACACCACCCTCAACCCAAATCATCCCGATGCCAGACCCGAAACCCTGCTAGCCCTCACTCAGCCCTGATCTCCAAAGCCCTACATCCCCCACCCTGCATCCTGAATACCATACAGCCCGATATTAAAACCCGGAACCCGAAACCCTAAATCTACACCCTTAAACCCTAAACCCTACACCCTAAACCCTAAACCCCAAACCCCTACATACAAGCACTAGGGCACGAGCCGAGGGGGATGGCGGAGTACGTGGGCGACGTGGATGAAGAGACCAAGGCCAAGGCGTGACCCATGGTAACCATTGTCGGGGTTATGGAGCTCGAGAGTTTTAGGGTTTATGGTTTAGGGTTTAGGGTTTGTGTGGTTTGGGGTTCAGGGTTTAGGGTGGCATTAGGAGTCAGGGTTTTGATTTTGGGGCATAAAAGGGGTACCCCAATTTTGGGAAATACCCAGTTTCACGAAACGTGACAATTGTTTAATCACCAAAACCCTAAGAAGCCCCAAAAGGACCCCCCCAAGAAACCCTAAGGCCCCTTATAAGGGTCCCTTCTTTCGTTCCTTGATACAAGATCTTTGCAGGTGGCTAAAGAGGCCGGCTACCCGCTCAGTGTCTTCGACAAGCCGCTGAGCAGCGCTTGGGCACACCCGGATGTCGGAAAGGGAGCCCCTAAAGCCCCCCAAAAGACCCTCACACCCCAAACCTTTGAATTCTAAGCCCTTAAACCCTAAACCGAAAAACCCTAAACTCTAAACCCCAACACCCCAAAACCCTAAACCCTGAAACCATGCTGTTGTATGGGCTGCTCTGAGTTTTGATACGCGGTGCCTGCCGAGGCCGAAGAAGTCCTTCGACGAAGCAGCCATCCGCGCCGCCGCCGCAGAGGAGCGGGGCCTGACTATGTAGATACAACGTGCAAGCGTATTCTGGCAAATCATAGTATATTATTGTGTATTAAAGTATGTTATAATATCTTATAGTATCTTATAGTAGATTTTTGTATATTATTGTTTATTATAGTACACTACAGTATTGTACATTATAGTATATTGTAGTATATTATATACATGTATAGTAATATATACTAGTATATATTACTACATTTTTTACTTTACACTGTGAGGGCTTGAGGGCAGCAGCAAAAGTGTCGGCTTGCGGGTTGAAGGGTCTGGGGTTTGGCTTCTTAATGCCCCCCACCCACCCCCACCCTCCTCCCTACTTCCCTACTTCCCTAAACCCCTAAACCCCTAAACCCCCAAACCCCTCAACCCTATGTAAACCCCTAAACCCTAGCCCTAAGCTCTAAACCCTAAACCCTAAACCCCTCAACCCTAAACCCTAAACCCTAAACCCTAAACCCTAAACCCTAAACCCTAAACCCTAAACCCTAAACCCTCAACTCAGAGGGCCACAGGGCTTCCATGATCGACCGCCACGGCAGGACTGGTTCAGCACCAAGGCCAAACCTGCACCAGGCCGAGGCCCTTGGGACTTTTTTTTTGGGGGGGGGGGGGGGGGGGTTAGGGTTTAGTTTAGGGTTTAGGGTTTAGGGTTTAGGGGTTTAGGGTTAGGTTTTAGAGTTTAGGGTTTAGGGTTTAGGGTTTAGGGTTTAGGGAGGGTTAGGGTTTAGGGTTTAGGGGCCGTTTTCTGGGGTTCCCGTAAAAGGTTTTTTTTGTCTTTGGGGGGTCAAACTAGGGGTGTCTTTTTTGTTTTTATGCGCGTTTTGATGCTCTTTGTACCGGAGGCTTGCAGGCTTCCGGGTGTGTTTGTGTGGGAACCTACATCTTGGTATTTGCAGATATGGTCCAGACATGGTACACTGACCTATACATGCTCTGTGAGTCGCTATTTATTTCGCTATCTATCCAAGGCCTCTGCGAGTTCGTGTTCTTGGAATTGGTGGCTGTAGGAGTGTTGCCTTTCATGGCTTGCAAGGGTCTATGGCGTGGTTCTTGAACCTGCTTCCGCTGTTTCTGTTTCTAAGGATTGAGTTGTTCAAGCCCTATAAAAGCAATAGCCCTAAACCCCCTAAACCAAGTGGTTCCAGTTCAGCACGTGGGGTTATCCCCTTAAGGGGATTCCTGCACCATTATGATATGGGGGTTTCCGAAATTGGGGGTACCTTATGGGGGTCCTGATTATAAGGGAATCTTACTATTTGGGGGTCTATATCAGGGGTCCCCGATTTTCGGAAACTCCCACATAAACACCCTCAACCCCAAACCCTAAACCCTAAACCCCTAAACCCCTAAACCCCTAAACCCCTAAACCCCTAAACCCCTAAACCCCTAGACCCCTAGACCCCTAGACCCCTAGACCCTCAACCCTACACCCTACACCCTAAACCCAAAACCCTAAACCCACTACTCAACCTTCCCATTCGTTGCTCCCGATGTCTGGCGACGCCAGGTGCCGAGGTGGAGGAGCCTGCCGGCACCGCGCCAGAGGACCTGGGGCACTTCACCCGCAGCTCGGGGTTTAGGAGGGCTTGTAAGGGTTTAGGGTTTAGGGTTTAGGGTTTAGGGTTTAGGGTTTAGGGTTTAGGGTTTAGAGGCCACCCCCTGAGTCCTTCAAAATGCTGCATCAACGCGGCTGCCCCTTGAGAAAAAGAGCGAGACCCCATCCCCCCCCCCCCCCCCCCCCCTCCCCCCCCCCCCCCCCCCCCCCCCTCCCCCCCCCCCCCCCCCAGTTTCTTCAGGGGTGCTGCATTTTTGGGGTGACAGGGTGCCGGGTTTTGTTGGCTTCCCTCTTCACGGCGAAGTATCAAGCTGTGACTGCAGCGTGGGCAACGCCTGTGAAATCATCACAAAGTCCTCCGGTGTAAGTTGTCGTCATGGGTTTGTGGCATCCAGGTTTATAAGGGATTCTGGTCGTGCGGTCAGGGCTCTTGATTTTGCAAAGCCTGGCAGGAGGCTACTCTTTGCAAAGACGGCTGCATCCTCGGCATTCCTCCTTTGGATGGTTTGAGGCTAGTGAGCCCTGAACCTCACGCCCGAAACCACAGAGTCGTTTTGGCTATGTGTGGCGCCTTCCTGTTCATTTTGATTGCGTTATTTCGCACGTTGAAGCTGGTGCTTACGCTGTCTGGGCCTCCGCACCAGCTGAGCAGGGAAGGCTCCAAGTCAAAATGCTCGTACGTTTAGGGTTTGGGCTTTCGGGTTCAGGGTTTAGGGTTTCGGATATTGGGTATAGGGTTTAGGGTTCAGAGGATGTTCATGCTACAACTGTGCCCAATTCCCGCCTCAACTATCCAGTACAGCCCAGCTCCCCCTCAAAAACAAGCTATTTGGGTCAGGACCCCAGCTTTGCTGGTCGGTTCTCTTGGCGGGGGTCCCCTGTCATACTGTATCACAACCCTAAACCCTAAACCCTAAACCCGAAACTCTAAACCCTAAACCCCAAGCTGTATCCTCTGAGGCGGGACGGTGCTGAAATGTCTGGATGGCTTGGACTGGGAGCTGACTCAAGACCAGGATCGGGTTTAGGGCTTTTGGGGCTTTAGGGTGCCTCGAATGCGCTGCAATGGTATCATAAAACATGCATATATATATATATATATATATATATATATATATACATAGATATATATATATACATATATATATATATATATCTATAGATATGTGTATGTATATATCATGTCAAGAGCATCAACATGGTAGATGTAGTGCCATAAAACATCAAGAAAGGTCCATATAGGTCCAGGGGGGGGTGGGGGTGCTTGAGGGGTCAGCAGACGGGTTCCATAGAGGATCCAACCCTAAAACCTTGAGGCCTTCAACTAAGCTTATCATCACCCTCTTCATGATTAGTATTCTGAGCACTGTTATATATTGTCAGCATTTTTTCGCTTGATCATCATTAGACCCCATTCCGGTACAGGAGAGCCTCGCCGTGAACGTGACCTTCACGGATGCGCTCTGGTACCGACTCACAGGGGCTTTGGCCTCAGTAATTGGCGAAGAAAGGTTTCAGGGTTTAGGGTTTAGGGTTTAGGGTTTAGGGTTCAGGGTTTAGGGTTTAGGGTTTAGGGGGTCAGGGCGGGTGTAGGATTCAAGGGCTCAGGGTTTCGGTCTGCAGTTGGATTTTGGGCGGGGGGAGGGGGGCGGGTAGGGGGAGAAGGGTAGGCTTAAGGAGGAAGCCCAAACCCTCCCTCCCCCATCTTCATTCTGGCTGAGGGCTCATGGCTTAACGGCTTCAGTATTTTGATCATAAGGTCCCATGTTTGTTGGAGTTTTGGGTTGATGATGGGTTAATTTGCTTGTGGGTTCGGGCCTGCGGGCCAAAGTGTGTTTTAGCTCTATCTTTCAGTGCATTAGGTTCTGCGGCGCTTCAGAAACCTCAAGCCCTAAACCGTAAACCCCTACACCCTAGTTAGCCCTGAACCCTCAACCCTATAAACCCTAGATAACCCTAACACTAAACCCCACACCCCAGTTAACCCTAAACCCCTCAACCCTATAAACCCCAGTTAACCCTGAAACTAGACCCTAAACCCTGCGCTCTAGTTAACCCTAAAACCCTCAACCCTAGAAACCCTCTAAAGGTCACTGGCCACCCCCTAAACCCTACACACCCTATAAACCGTATAAACCCTATAAAACCTACAAACCCTATAAACGACCCTGAAAAGGCCACTGGCTACTCCGCCTTCAAGGAAGCTGTCAGCTTTGAGTTGGCGGAGAAGCAGCTGTTGGGACCTCGACTCCGGGGTACAGGGAAGTCAGTCCCCCCGAGGCTCCAAGTGTCCGAAAATAGGGGTACCCGTCTTGGGGGGTTCCTAGAACAAGGATTATCGAATTTGGGGGGGGGGGGGGGTATATTATGTATACAGTGGGCCTAAAGCCTGTGAATAATGCCTATGTTGGGCCATCTAGGAGCCTTAAGGATTCTTGAGCCACGGGCTCTTCAGTGCGTTCATGCGCCACGGTTGCAGACCGCAGCGCTCTGAAATCCTACAAAGCTTGAGTTTAAGGGGTTCATTCAAGATGTTCTTAAGTATAGGGTTTTGTTGGGTTTGCCACGTTTCTTGCGTAGCAACCTTAGCTCCACATTCTGACACCTGGAGTATGGTCCCCGTTGGCGAAGGAAATCCTGCGGCCCAAGCCACAGACATGTAGAGAGCGCAGGCAGCTTGAACTCGCCGGGGGTTAGGGGTTTAGGGGTTTAGGGGTTTAGGGATTTAGGGGTTTAGGGGTTTAGGGTTTAGGGGTTAGGGTTTCTTGTGGCAGCAGGTGAGATACTCACAGGCACCGCAAGGAATGGTTTTCCGAAAAGACCGCAGCACTGCGTGATGGAGGTCGCAAACCCCCTCGCCGGCTGCCACTCATTTGGGTTCGAGGCTTTCCGAAGTTTCCCCCCCATCTCAAGAGAGCAAGAACACTTGGCAGTATAGGGCTTAGGGATAGTAGCACATAGTCGAAGTGTTGTTTCTATTCTTGCGGCATTATACGAAGGGATCGCCCCCCAACAATAACAGCTTGAATCCATGCCAGCCGCCAGCCAGTCTACACCTCTGAACCCCTAAACCCCAACCAAGTGCGTTTAGGGCTTAGCGCTTGGGGTTTAGGTGTAGTATCGCCATTTCACGTGACAACCGCTCCGTGAAATGACATGGATTTCTATGCCACTTGGAAGCAGGGTAGGGTTCCGAATTGGTAGCTCCCTAAACCCTAAACCCTAAACCCTAAACCCTAAACCCTAAACCCTTCTTGAAGATGCTTGGGCTTCAGGTCCTTTAGCTTCTGGGCTTAGCTCGTTGATGGAGTTCGTTCTTATTGGCCAATGGCCCGTTTTCCAAGGAGTTCTTGCTCTTCAGAATGGAGCACACTAGAATATTGTTCTTTCAGGGCTTAGGGTTTTCAGGTCCGAACAGATGCTTAACAGAAAGAAGTTATCAGTTGCCTGGCTTAAGCCGCTGTTCAGAGCAGCCTTGGACCGCAACCTTACTTTCAACCCGCTACATCTGCACACCAAGCCAAGGCACAGCACAACGTAAATCCTCTGACCCCTTTTTTCAAGCCCGACCCTCGAAAGCCCAAGCCCGCAGGCTGAAATCTCAATCCCAAAACTTTGCAAGCTCCATCCTGCCGGCGTAGACCCCAATGAGCCACGACAGTTCTGCACTTCACAAGCAAAAAAAGCGACAGCACGATTTCGACCACGGAATGCACACGACAGCTAGGCGAGAGCACCGAGTGGCGAGGAGTATGCGGACGGCCAAGCGGCACAAAAGCACGTCCCGGACACCATTCCCTGATGCCGCGCAAGTCAAGCGTCCAAAAGGTGTGCAGTTCTTAGGCAGGAGCACGATTTCGAAGGCGGAGCGAATGGATGCACGAAGCGAACCCACGCAAGAGCTCTTGAGTAGCAGGAAGGTGCCCGGGACCTAGGCAACGCGATTTGTCCCGCCCTGTGACACCGAAACAATTGCTTCTTTCTGAAAACAGCCAATGGCTTCAGCGCGATTTGGACCCAAAACATTCGCCACGCCTCGACGGGAGCTGCGCGACCAGGTGGGCGCACCACATCCTTTGCAACCTCATACTGTCTGGGGAGTAAACTAAGGGTTTCCTGGTATGGATTTTTTTTCTAGGTCCGCTTCAAACCTTATAATCTTAAAGAATGTTCACACACATCTTTGGAGACCTATGGAAAGCTTAGTAGCTGAGTGAGCACACTACACTTTCTGGGATACTACAATCCCCTATAGAACTGAAAGTGTACACTTGTTTGGGGCGTATGAACTCAGCAACTAAGAAAGTGCTTTCTACCCACAACCCGAAAACCTGCGCACACAGCGCTCTGTGGCCTACACCGGGAGCCCAGGACATCCTCGGCGTGAGCCGCGCCGCGCCGCAGCAAGATATTCTCCGTGCCTATCGTGGTCTCAGGGCTGCACCCGAGATTCGCGGGTTTAGCGATGAGGGATGATGAGGGGTGGCAGCAAACTAGCTGGTTAAAAGTCATTGTTGCCTCACTTCCCTGACCTGTTTGTAGGCGTCTTGCCTAACGCCACACAGAAAGGCAATGAGAACCAAGTCCAGAAGCCATGGACAACGTTCAGGGTTTGTGGCAGGGTGCAATGTCCAGCTGAGCCACACAAACCCACTGCCCACCTAGCTTGCGTGAAGAGAGGGGAAGAGGCAAATCAGGGCAGGCGGGTGCAGGTTGCAAAGACTCCTTTCTGCTATCAGAATGCAAATAGCTTTCGACCGTTCGAAGCCTAACTGCATCTGATCTTTAGTGGGTTCGAGTGGCGAGTGTTTGCTCCTGGGTACATATTTCTGCTGGAAAAGTTGGACTTTACAGGTTTTGTTTCTCGGGGGGGGGGGGGGGGGGGGGGGGGGAGGGTGGTGGCAGTTTATTGCGAGTGTCTGAGATTTGATTGGGAAAAGAATGGAAAAGACTTGGCGGTGCAAGAAGTCAAGTACACGGTTTTGGTGGTGCAAGAAGCCAATGGAACGGTTCTGAGTCGTTCGCGATACCAGAAGCAGATGTAGTGATGTTTCGGTAGTGAATCAGCAAGTTAAATGGAATAGGGTTTGGCGGTGCTATGATGGGGTCGCTCTCCCGCATGCTGTTTTTTTGTTGCATTCCTCACCTTGCAAAGCCTAGTCAGGCAGAGTTGTCAACGAAGTCACGAGGGCAAGTAAGTGAGACGAAGAAGACTTGTGGAATGTATGTGCCCGCGGAGACCCACTTCGCAGCCTTACGAAGTTGCAGGCACGTGGGGTCTGCACAACACGTTTCGTTTCTCCGTTACCATGGGTTCTTAGCCTATGTGAGTTTCGATAAGTTGGTTTCTCAGCGCACTATGCTGGTAATTGGTGCTGTGATCAGATTGTGCGGATAGGGGCTCCCTCTTCAAGCCGGCGTCGCTAACCCAAAAGCCGAGTCCTAAGCACGCAACCCTCAGCCCTGCCTCGCTTTGGCTAGTGCCACCAAGAAAATCCCTAAGCTGAGGTCAGGCCTTGAAGCTTTGTCGACGGAAACGTGCCAAAGCTCATATAGTAGACTCGGAGTTTCAGAGTGCCTAAGGAATTGAGGGCCCTCACTCTAAGGGATACTAGAGACCCAACCAAACCCAGTCTTGAAGAGGACTCCCCAACTGGAGGCTTTCAGGACTTTGTGCGTTCTGGCATCGCTCCTTTGGGCTTCACATTTCTCTTGGGTCTTGGGATTGGGGAGCGCTTTGCAGGATCAGAGTCGGTTTCAGGGCTTAGGGTTGCGAGGCTTTACGGTCTAGAGAGGTTCTGGGCATTCTGCAGGTTTAGGGAGGAGTGGGTGGGGCGGGGGGCTGGGGGGTTTAGTTCAGGAACCCTCGTAAGGAACCACAGGCCTTGTTATTCTTAGATCGGAAGTCGGGGCCAAGGTTGGCGTCCAAAAGGATCTCTACTGGTGACCGTTGAGCTTGTATTATAATACAAATCGCATGTTCTTTGCTACAGCAGTTGGGGTTTGGCGCGAGGGTTCGGGGGTCCAGGACGCGGTTGCGGGTGGGGGGGGCCTCCGTGGTTCAGGGCTTCATGTCCCTTACTTGCACGGATCCCTTGCAAGGCGTGCACAAGCAGAGCCCCAGGGGCCTCAAGGAAGTCTGAAATCCATTTTGGGAATCATGGCTCTTTATAGTGGGGTTACAAGCACCTTGATTAAGGTTATAATATAGGTTACCCTACTTATAACCGTACTTATAGCTACCCATGAACCTTCAAGCATAGAATCTTTTGCTTATCCGTCGACTCAACAGGCTCTGGCCTTAGCTGCAAAGGGTGTTTAGGGTTCCAGGGCTCAATGCCTCGAGACTCTCGCAGCTTTTCTAAAGATTGTATTTCCAGAACTTTGAAGAATCTTCAACACCCAGATCCTCGGATGAGACTTTCTTGAGGCTTGAGACTCACATGAGCCACCATCTCAAGTCTTCTTAACTTCCTGAAGCCTTTGAGCACAGATCCTGAATAGAATTGCCCACTCAGCCAAGGATGTGCTCCCAATCGGCCCGCCCCCTCTAGCGCGGATCCCCTGGTCGAGGCCGAAATTGCCGTGTAGGTAGCCAGGAATGCTGTCTATTTGCATCAGCGCGATGATTATTCGTAGCAGTCGTGGTCGTCAGATGATTCTTTTTAAGAGCGCTTTGGGGCGTAAGTTTCGCACGAGCTTGCGAGTTCGAGGCTTTTGGACGGGAGTCCGCGCTAGGAGTTGAAGGCCTAGGAGGCTGAGGGAGTCGGGCGGTTTGTATTAAAATTTCGGGACGTCCATGAGAACTTAGGGTTCAGGGACTAGGTACAGGGCTTGCTTTGCAGGAGGTATTTAGGAAGGGGCGCTGAGCAATGGGAACTCTATCCTGCGCAAGTCAGCACAAAGTAACATGACCGGAGCAGAGACCTTGAAGCGCCATGAACCTTGACTCGAAAGCCCCTACACCCTTAACCTTATACCCTAAACCCTAAACCCTTATACCCTAAACCCTTATACCCTAAACCCTACACCCTTAACCTTATACCCTAAACCCTAAACCCTTATACCCTAAACCCCCTGAATTCTTAGCTCTCGACTGGAAGCCTTGATACCCCGTAGCCCAAAACACCTGTGGACCCTCTTCCGCTCCATGAGAGCCGCAGTTTAGGGTTTAGGGTTCAGGGAATAGGGTTTAGGCTTTAGGGTTTAGGGATTTGTTTCAGGATGTTTCAGGAACCCTCAACAGAGGGAAAAGACCGTCATCACCATCAGCTGCCACTGTTAGGATCGTACGTTTCGTAAAGTTCCGGACGCAGAGTCATAGACCCCTCAATTCCTAAGCTCCCTACACCAACCGCGCAACCCGAAGCTCGTTCAAAAAGAGTCCAAACAAACACCCCGAAAACAAAACCCTAAGCTCCCTCTAAAAATCCCGAAAAGCTCTCTCAACGCCACTCCATATCCAGAGGTTCAGGACATCTTCCCCGCTTGGCGGATGCGGGCGGAGGCCTACGAGACCCTCTCAGATCCGGCAACTGGGCCCTGGGGTTTGGTTTAGGGTTTACGGTTTAGGGTCTAGGGTTTAGGGTCTAGGGTCTAGGGTTTAGGGTTCAGGGTTTAGGGTGTTGCTAAAGGGTTGAGGGTTTGGTGAAAGAAGGTTTTTTGGTTTCGGGTTTTAGGTTGGTAGTTTCGGGCTTGGGGCTTTGGAGGATGGGACAATCCTAAATAAACCCTTGAAACCACGGCTTTAAAGCGAGGCCAATTGGAGTCCGATTGTAGGCCCGCGTGCCAAAGAAGCAGCACGCCGCAAAGCCGAAAAAGTCTCAGATATGCCAGGCTGGCTTCTCAGGGTTTTGGCCTAAAATAAGAAATTCCTCCCACCCCCCCCCCCCCCTCGCCCCCCTAAATAAGAAATTTTGGCATAAAATAAGAAATTCCTCCCACCCACCCACCCACCCACCCCCTCCCCCCCCTAAATAAGAAATCCAGCCCCTCGATTTCGTAAATTTAAGAAATCCAGCCCCTCGATTTCGTAAATTTAAGAAATCCAGCCCCTCGATTTCTTAAATTTAAGAAATCGAGGGGCTGGATTTCTTATTTAGGGGGGGGGGGGAGACTTTTCATTCGGCGGTTGCCAAAAACAACCAAATTTCAGAAAATTAGGGCCCAGGATGAGGGTACCCTCGATTTCTTAATTTAGTCTTGCCGCATTTTTAATCGCGAGCATGCTCGTTTCTTAATCCAATAATTTCTTAATCAGTGCTGTCACTGTACCCTATACAACTCCCATACACAGAAATAAGTACATATGTACATATATATATATATATATAGATTTGTTTATTTTTTCATTTATTTATTTGCAACTATTTCTTTATTCTGTATACATGTATAAACATGTATATGTATGCTCACCTTTACAATTCCGAGTCCGGCAAAACTTGAAATTCGAAACCATAACATTACTCGTACTGTTGCGGTGACTTCCACTGCTACTTCCACTAGGACCCGGAGTAGGCCCGTATTCCCTGTATGTAGGGTGTAGGTTGAATTAGTTGCCCGTTAAAACCAAAAAGGGCACCCCTTTCATTCCTAGGTTCCTCCTGGGTGTAGTCCACCAGTTGTACTGTTATCAGGCAAGGCGCAGCCTCTACAACATCAGCCTGGTCCGCGCGGGGTCCGCCGATGGCCTTGCAGATGCGCTCCGCCCTCCCATTGCACCGTGGCGGCAGCTTCGCGAGAGGGGGCGGAAAGTGGAGGAGCAGGTGGCAGAAGTGGTTGTAGTTGTCGGAGGGCTTGCAGCAGGAGGAGGGATAAAAAGGAGTGGGGAATGGGAGTAGGAGTAAGCCATAAAATATTGGAGGAGCGTGTAGGCTAAAAAAGCTTGTGCGAGTACCGATTCTGTTGGTGGCGATTACGGCAAATGATTGTTTCTATAGTCTTGCTATTTTGTGATCTTCTTTGATGGCCGACGATGATTTCGACACCTTTCAACATCCAAGCTTAAGCTGGGGCCAACCTCTGAGCCTGACGCCCGAAGCCTGAAAGCTGGGGCCAACCTCTGAGCCTGACGCCCGAAGCCTGAAAGAGCCCCATCAACCACCCCCGCCCTTCAATGCGAAACTTGTCGTAAACTCCACGGGGTGTGGGGTTTAGGGCTTCGTGGTTTGGAGTTCAAGGCTCCCACCCCCGGCACCACAAAGCACCAAGGGAACCATCACTGGCCATATGCTTGGCGATCACCCCGCTGAGCTGCTTCATCTGTTGCTCCAGGCAAGCTTATGATTGGTGGGCTGGGGGGCGTCATGGAGAGTCAGGGGTTCTCACCTAGTGAAGCCAACGGCATTTTGGGGGCTTCCCAAATGGAGCTCAAGATTTGTGTGTGAAGGTTTCAGGGTCTAGCATTTCTCGGTTCATGGGCTCAGGTAGGTTTCGAACTGCGGTGGCCTTTGCATGAATGTTTGGCTTTGGGTTTAAGGTTCAGGGTTCAGGGATAGGGTGTTGGGTTTTGTGGACAACGTCTGCAAAGTTTGTGTTCCAGGAATTACTTTTCGGGCGCTGGAGCTCGCACCCTCAACGTAGTTTTTAGGTTCCTCTATTGGGGATTCAACGCGGCGTAGCAAGTCCTAGTACGACACATCAGCTCCGAGATCAGGGTCAACCTAGTAAGCTTTCGGGGCATTTAGGTTAGTTGGCTTAAGGTTTGGGCTTCTGAGCGTTGGCCAAGTCGATGTTGAAAAAGATGTACCTGTTAAACCATCTCCCAGAAGCAGCAAGGGGCTCCTAGCTCAAGCTTTATGGATATGTACAAAGCCGAAGGTGTAAATGCCCATGAATATGCCAGCTCTTCATCAAGCAAGTCTATCTCGTCCCATGAGAACCAATGTCCGCAGCCGCAGAAACTTTACTCTGCATCTGTATGCGATCGGAAGGAGTAATGTCTTGAACACGCACAAGGAAAGCTACAACAAAATAGACTCCGCAGGCAGAGCCTCAGTCCTGGCAGAGCCTGATCTCAGGCCCCTCGGTTTCTGGAGGGCTTGGACTTGAAGGAGTTTTGGGTTTACGGCTTAAAGTACTTTGGGTGTTTAAACCCTACATTTAATTAGGGCTGAGGGATGAGGCTTTGAGCTTTAGATGTGGAGGCCGGCATGTTTCGGTTGGCCTTTGCTGGATTGGGAGTTTAGGGTACAGGGCTTGGAAATTGCTTAGATGGCTTTGCCATACAATCTCACTACCACCCCTCCATGCTTGGCGGTTTTGCTCTTGGTGCTGCGCTTTTGGGGTTTCGTGTGCTAAGCCTGCTAAGCCCCAATGACTGACTAGAGCTCACCAGCAAACATAGGGCAGGCAGGCACCGAAGCTACCCCCGCCCGCGAATCCTTCTTCTCAGATATGACCACCAACACGTGCCTCACAAGCTCAATAGAAGAGCAATGAAAGCCTACAACTCACCCACTGGGGCAATTTGGCGTTGAGCCTTGTAGTCCACGCTTCGAGGTTTAGAGCTTAGGGATGCTTAGGGTGTAAGGCCGCAGAACTCGACAGAAGCGTAATGCTAGGACAAGCTTGAAGCAAATGAATATGTGATGAGTTGCACTTAACCCCTACGTAGTACATGTGCCGAAACCCTAAACCTTTCGATCATGAAGCCTGGGGTCGCTGTCCGCCTTCGCAAGACGGCCTCATGTTCAGCTGAGCCTTAGGCTAAATTACTGGTATCACCCAGGCTACCCTTGCAAAAAACAGAAGTTAGTCATCGGCTGAAGCCCACGGATAGGGGGCTGCGCTATACTTCCTTATCCAGTTCTTCGAAGGCTCCTGTTTGTTCCTGCTGCGATATTTCTGCGCCTTTACCCTTCCCCACCTAAGATCGCAACAACCCTCAACCCAAATACTGTAGCTCCTGTTGCAAATGGGAGCCAACTCTGAGGCCTGCGAAAGAGCCAACTGCAGGGCCTCTTGGACCGCTTGCCGCTGGCCCCGCGAGTGCACGAACTGGTCGCGAGGGTGGAGGACTTGGAGGGGATGGTGGTGGCGGTGAGGCAGCGGTACTATCGTGCGTAGTAGTAGTTGTAGAGTAGGAATAGTAATTCGAACGAAAAGACAGAGTATCCTGTTTGTATTATGTAGTACTTTCATCGGAAGGATGGGTGTCAGCCACAGCAAGAAGCATGTCGTAAACCCCATGTCGTGCCACGCGAGAAGGTTCTGGTGGTGTGAACATTGTGAATTGCCCTTTTGTGCAGTCAAGTCAGAAGGAGACAGATGAGCGCCGCGTAGACTGCCTCTGGAGATCTCAGACGGAGTTCCAAGCGGGCATGGAGTGGGACAATCTGGTTTTCTACAGTCCGGCGACAAAGGCTCCTGCAGCTGGCATCTACTTCCACACTGTCATGGTGGAGTTCCAACGGGTGCTGCATGGGTACATCGTGGACAACCCCACTTGCAGACTTGAGGAGGCTTTGCAGCACGTGGAGAAGCACCTCGCGTGTCGGGGTTTCAGCTGTCCGCTCAAAATGCAGTGCAGGGTCTTGCGAAACGGCAAGAAACTCTGCAGCCCGGCTGTCTCCTGTGCGACCACACTTCTGGCAATGCGTTCCGAGGCCATGCAAGCAAGCAGCTCAGCCCTGGCTGGGTTGCGACAGAAGTGGGTGCGCCAGTCCAGAGAGCTTGCGCAGCAGAATGCTGCTCTGAGCAAGAAAAGATGCGCACAACTCTGGGGTTTCCTCTACGCGCAGCTGCAAACCCTCCGCTCTGTCCCACTGGTTCGCCGCCGCAAGTGCTGCAAGCAGCCGGAGGACGTAGTTGTGCAAGTGGCGCTGGACAGCTCGTTCTGCCAGACCTTGGGGTCACCGGATGAGCTGGCAAGGCGCCTGGGCACCCGCACGGGCAACGACTTTCTCTGCACGTTCCTGCTTCACGATGTTGCAAACGACCCGGCGTCCCCCAACCACGAGTTCGCAGCTGGAGCTTGGCAGTGGCTGGAAAGCAAGCGGAGGCGGTATGAGCACCTCGACCGTAGAATCAAGCAGCGTTTGGATGCGTGCTGGGAGCTTGTTTTGGTGGGGGGGCAGTTTTTGGAGGGCATCTCAGGTCTGGGTATGCAAGCCCAAACACATGGAGCCCACGTTCTCCTTCAATCGAGTACTACAGCGAGTGCTTCATCGACGTGCTTTCCCAGACATGCCTTCGCTGGATCTTGTCCTTCTCCCAGCTTCCCGGACGTTAGTGTTAGATTTTGCTGTTCCACCCTAATCCCTAAACCGCCCCCAAAATTCTAAACCCTAGACCCTCCAGTACACAAGAACGTGAAATGAAGTACGATCACAAATTTACTTGTGTGCGAAGGATCGTGGAGCTCGCCCAATGCGGAATGGTGAACCGGTCCTTGGCCCATCAAGTCCGGATGGTTCGGAAGCACGGCGTGGCCGTAGATTGGGGCAAGCAGGGCTCCTGAGATGATGAGCCCAGGAATTTGGATGCGCTTTAAAACCCGCGCGTTTGGATTTCTCTTGTACACACACTCCAAAATGAGTTGCATTACAGTCAGTATGCTGTCGGTTTGTTTGCGATCCGATGGGATGGATTCTGCTCGGCTTTGTCTCACTCGTTTCATGGGACCATGGCCCGAGTCTAAGATGATAGATCTAGCCCCCCAACATACCAGAATCCTTAGAATAGGAACTGCCCAAAAAGGTGTGCCTCCAAAAGCCGAAACTCTAAACCCCAATTCGATGCGCGCATTGTTCTAGAGGTCCTAAGGGATCGTGTGCCCCCCTCACCCCCCCCCCCCGCCTGAACAGTCGAAGCTGTATAGCGAGGCCCGGCAATTGATGTTTAAAGGCGCGCCGCGTGCAATTGTCTTGCGACGCCCGAAAGCCTAAACCCTATAAGCCTGTAAGTGTTATGAACATCTAAGAACCGTAAACCCTAAACCCTAAAACCTTACAAATATGTTGAGAACAGCTCCAATGTCTTGCGCCTGGAACACCCCCAGCTTGGTTTCCAACCGCACGCGTCTGCTGTCAAGGCTTTCCGCAGTATGAGTGTTTAGGGCTTCAGGGTTTAGGAAAATGGAGCTGCCGACCCCACACCCCAGACCTTAAATCCTGGACCCTAAGCCCCAAGCCCTGAAACCTAAACCCCGGAAGGGTTCTGGTTAACCGTTCAGTTCAGCCCTCACTAAACCTCACATCCATGGTTTGAGGTTGAGTGTTTGGGGGCACTGCTTGAGTTTAATTTTATCCTGTAAATTTAGGACCTTCAACCCAGCAACCAGATCCTAAGCCCTGTAAGACGCAAACCCTGAGCCGAAACCCTAAGCCGGAAAAATCAAGCCCTAAACCCTACACCCTACACCCTAAACCCTAAACCCTAAACCCTAAACAAATTTAGACCTTAACTTGGGGACGAGGCCACAGCCAGCTCCTAGAAAACCTTCGAAGAAATCCAGAGAAACCCAGATAGATAGGTAGCCCAGTGGCACCCCCTAAACCCTAAACCCTAAGCCGTAAACCCTAAACCCTAAGCCCTAAACCCTAAACCCTAGACCTTAAACCCTAAACCCTAAACCCTAAACCCTAAACCCTAAACCCTAAACCCTAAACCCTAAACCCTAAACCCTAAACCCTAAACCCTAAACCCTAAACCCTAAACCCTAAACCCTAAACCCTAAACCCTAAACCCTAAACGCGAAACCCTAAACCCTAAACCCTAAACCCTAAACCCTAAACCCTAAACCCTAAACCCTAAACCCTAAACCCTAAACCCTAAACCCTAAACCCTAAACCCTAAACCCTAAACCCTAAACCCTACCCCCTTGCCCTTTTTTGAGTTCTGGGCTCCCTGAAGAAGTAAGCAACCCCAAAAAAGGGTAACCTTATTGTGACTTGGCTACTGAGCTGCCAAGCAAAACCCCCATTTTATACATGGGAGGGAGGGGGGGGGGGTTAGGGTTTACCGTAGGGCTTTAGGGCTTGAGGCTTTCAAGTCACGATTTATGCACAACACCTCAAACCACATAAGGATCCTCAAAATGATGCAAGGCATTGCCCTTCATGAAAGGGGTATCACGCTGGGAATCCTGGAGTGCATCTTTCCTTTCAATGTGCAGCAGAAGCTGTCACGTGGCTCCGAATGTTTTTCGAGCTCAACTCTAAGCTTAGTGTTTGGGGTTTGGGGTTTAGATTATCACTCCCTTCGTTCGGCGGACGCTTTGATGCAGGCGCTATGCCCGTAGGTCATCAATGTCACGACATCTTCGCTGCTCTTGGCCGAGAACGTCATTGCCACATTCTCAACCCTATGCCGCAACCCTGAACCCTGAACCCTAAACCCTAAACCCAAAACCCTAAAACCCTAAACCCTAAACCCCAAACCAAACCGGGCAACAGTTGTTGGCGAACTTGGCAGAGAGCAGCGCCGCGAGCAGAGGGCCCTCTCATGGGATGCGCAGGCGGCTTCAGCCTCACTTTAGGGTTTATGTTTTAGGGGCCCTAGACCCTTACGGATCCACTTGAAAGGTTCAAAATTTGCGGATCCCCGATTCCACTTTAGGGTTTAAGGTTTAGTAGTATGAATACGTACCCATTAATTAAAGCCTGTCAAGGATCCCGGTGTAAGTGAAGGAGTCGAAGGAGTATTGGGCTCTTTGGGTTCAAGGCAAGATTCGATTCTAGAACTGGGTTGTCTTGGAAGCATGCAGCCAAAAACCCTTAACCTTAACTCTTGGTTCTGTTCCATAAGCAGGTTGTAATGCGTAAATGAACAAACAAACTGTTTGTTTAGGGTTTATGGTTTACAGGGAATAGGGCCCATCTGGCTCCCGGATGGAGAAGTGCGTTCCTCATGCTAGCTCCGCAAGGGCCCCGCACTTGAGAGCAGCAGCAAGTCTCCCTCACACGGCCATCGTGGGAAGCTAGTTTCTCACGATGATTTCAACCGGATCCCGCTCCTGGCTAGCCAGATGAGGATCCGCAGGCTCGAAATCGAACAGAAGCATGTCGATGCATTCGCTTGTTTCCAGATGTGAGGGGCGCACGAAAAAGGTTCGCTTGGCGTGCACAGAACGTGTAGGCTTCGGGTGGGCACTTGGGATCGGAAGATCTGTGATCTGTGAACTTCTTTCACGCATTTCATAGTTGTTTAATTGTTCGCGAAACCTCGTTGGCCTGATTTGCGTATCTTCCGTCAGTAAATTAAGGTATGAGTATCTTTTGTTTATTTGGGGGCGGTTCTTAAGACAATAGTAGTTGTGGTTTAACTCGAGATCCAAGGTTGTGGTTTTGTGTGGCCGCGTTAAACCCGAACCCCTAAACCCTGAACCTTGCAGGTGTGGGTGCGCGCGACTTGGGGTTTAGGGTTTGGTGTGTAGGGTCTATAGGTTTAAGGGGTCAAGACCTCCTTGTTCTACCCCCCCCCCCCCCCCCCCCCCCCCTCCATGGGGCCGAAAGTGTACTTGAACCTGCAGTTAGGGTTCAAGAGCAGTTGAGTGAATGCAGGTGAGTGACGTCCTTGATGTTGTGCCTGACACGTGAAGCTATCAATTGCATGTTTTTGCAGACATCCCAAACCCTTCATTTTTTAAGTTCAAGAGCCCGAAGCTTTCAGCCCCCCCTGCACCCAAAACGCTAAACCCTAAACGCGCGGGCTGTCCTCAGCTGGATGAGTGGTACAGAGCTTGAACCCATATTCTGAACTATTTTCTAGATGGATTCGGAAATGGTTTTATTCATGTCAGAAAGAGATTCATCCAAGATGTTGGCGCGTCTTGGGGTCTAGTGAATTCTGTATTGTCGTTCAGAAAGAATCCAAAACTCACAAGCCTTACCTGCAATGTGGCTCAGGCGAGTACTACACGCCGGCGCGGCCATTGCCCCGGCTTGCATTCATCACCCTGAGCCCTAAACCCCATAAGCCGCTGATCATGATTTTATGGCTCCTTAAACCCGAAACCCTGTACCCTAAACCCTAGTCGGAAAGGGTTTGGGCCTCCACTGGCAGTGAAAGCAACATCTCAAGTCCCAGCCAGCTCGTGGCTTCCACCCCGAGGGTTCAGGATTTAGGTTTGTCAAACAGGTTTGTATAGGGCTTATATAGGATTTACATATGTTTTTTATGCAGGGTTTATATATAGAGGGTTTAGATATACAGTGTGTATATATATATATATAGACATACATATATATATATATATATATATACAGATAGATAGTTTTTTTGATATTGGGTATATCACTTCCACGCCAAAGCAAGGTCGTGCTGGATTTGCAGCTGCCTGTTGCAGTGGTCCCTGCCTGAGAGTCCACTTGCCCACGTTGATGGACGGATGGGGCTCGGGGTGTGTGATCGAGGTTTTCAGCCCCCTGGTGTGATCTGATTGAGAGCAGATCATCAATCCACGGTGTGGTGAAGATTAGCCAGTAGACGCTTCTCCCAAGCTAAGCACGGCCTGGCAACATGAGCCCTGTATCCCCCAAACCCTAAACTTTAACACCCTAAACCCTGAACCTTAATCGTCACTGCTGCTAAAAGGCCATGGCAAAAGGCATGGCCCATCATCACCTTAGTAAAGGGCCGGGGAACTGCGAAGGCATGAAATCGCCAAGCATGTCTCGGGTTGGCCTAAACCCTAAGCCCTAAACCCTAAACCCTAAACCCTAAACCCTAAACCCCCGTCTTGTCCTGCAGGACGCCAAGGCGGCTTCAGCCAGCGTCAGCAGCCGCAAGATGCGCGTTGCTGTCAAGGCTCGGCCTCACGGGCTTCTTTCGGGACAGCTCATGTTTAGGGTTTAGGGTTTAGGGTTTAGGGTTTAGGGTTTAGGGTTTTTTTTCGGTTTAGGGTTTAGGGTTAGGGTTTAGGGTTTGGGGACGGCTCATGCTCTTGAAGGGATAATGTAGGGGTCGCAATAATGACTAGTAGTATTCCCTTACCCTATATCATCGTATAGGGGTCGCAAAATTAGTAATAGTGTTCCCTTATATGGTCCCTATATACGTTTACCATAAGAACGCCCCCCAAAAGCCTATACATTCTAATTCTGAAGGCCTCGACGCTAGCTTCGGCAAAGAAGTCTATGTTCTTCAGGCGATGCGCTAGACATGTTGCCGCACCAATTGCGGCACTGTCTCGTGCCTCCCTGACCAGATTCGCAGCTTGCTTGCGTTGCAGACCTCAACAATCTAAACTCTCAAACCTACTACTAGGACCCGGAGTAGGCCCTTATTCCCTTGTCTGAGGATCTAGGTTCCCTTATAAACCCCGAAACCCTAAACCCTAAACGCGAAACCCTAAACCCTAAACCCCTTAAACCAAGCAGGGCACCCTTTTTTATTCCTAGGCTACTCTTGGGCCTGGCCCTACACCCTAAACCCTAGGTTACTCTTGGGCCTAGACTCTCCGGAAGTCCTTGCGACGAGAGGCCCGGAAGCTCTTGGAGACGCCTGCCTGAGCCGATGTGGGGGGGTTACCTAAATTCTGTGCCGAGGGTTTAGGGTTTAGTGTTTAGGGTTTAGGGTTTGGGTACCCCCAAAATACAAGGACCTCTAAGTGACCTGTATCAGAATAGGTGCCCAAGAAGGGATCCTAATTTAGGAAACCGGCCATGTGATCCGGGATCACGGCTGAAACGAGCCGTGGCCGGAGAAAAAGGGAGCGGCTTGCTTTTGAAGGGGTGGGGGAGGGTTTGGGGTTGTAGGGTTGAGGGTTTAGGGGGTAGGGGGGCGGGGGGTTCTGTCCTATCCTTGCACTTGCACTTTGTTCTCCTCTGCTCCATCCTTCACCCTCGGCCCTCCAGGGCTTGGGTAGTAATCCGTAGAAGCCAGGTGCCCGACTTGTGGACGTGACTTCCCCGGAGGTGGGGCGCCACGTTGGGCGGGGCTTGCGGGCTTCGTGTTTTGCAGGTCAGCCGAACTAGTTTTTCTTTGGGACGTGCTGTGCTTCGGCACTGTTCGCGGCGCAAAGGCTTTGCAGAAGGGAGCGAGTTTTTAGAAAGCAGCCAACGCTTTTGCTCAAATGTGGGACATGGCAACTGTTACGAGCTGACCTCGAAACAACGACTGAAGCCAGCCCAGCAGCAAACTCATGTCACATGGCACAAGCCTCCTTCATCAGGTGTAGTTTTCACTGAGTTCACAAGCTTAGGTCTGGGGAGAGAGCCTTGATCTGTTCGGAGGTCTTCTGGTCTTGGGAGCTTCCAAACTTAGTTCTCTCTTCATACATGCAAATATGGCCGGAATCTCCCTGAAAAAAGGGCCCGAACCCCCCTCCCCCCCCCCCATGTGTCTGTTGTTTTTTGGAGTGCGCTGCAGTCTCTTTCAGAAGCGCTCCTGGTGTGCGCACTGAGGTGTCTGGGACGCCGCCGCCGTTGCGAGAGGCCTCGGAAGATTGGCATTGCTGGGCTTCGAAGTTCGGACCCCTGCTTCGAACATCAGGCTTACACATCATCAGTGCGGCCCTAAACTACCCTGAGGCTCCTGTGTAGTACATGTAGTACCTTTTTGGGGTAGTATACTAGAATCCCCTATAACTAACCCAAACAGGAACTACAGTTGAGCCTTTGGGTAGGCCCCTAGGGCCCAAACCAAAGCAAGCCCATGCAAGCATGCTGCGACACCTCGAGGTATGTTAGGCTTGTCTGCCACCCTGACAGTGCAAGTCTTGGAATTCAAGTTGGTGACATGCAGGAGTCTGAGCATGTTGGGTCTCACCGCTTTGTAGACTGCAAACTCCTTCCGTCGACGGAGACGCGGGGCAAAAATGCTTTGCCAAGCTCTGTGCCATCACATCTCCTACCCTAAACCTAAAGCTGATGACTCACTGGGTTGAGCACGGACAAGAGATGTCCCTACCTGAAGGGGAGCTATCAAGTCACATGGCTGTTCGTTAAGCCTCAAAGCATCCAGGAATGCTCTGGCTTGCATCCTGCCTGGGCGTGGCTCAAGTTTGGCTGCATGGCTCGGACTGCTGGGAAGCAATTCGCAGGATTTGAGTGGGATATCCGGGTACTGAGGTGGATTCCTTGTACGCTTGACGTAGAAACGTCCTCCATCGTTCTCCCGTAGAGTCCGCAGACCATCAGACCAGCTGCCACCTCTCAGCTGCCGGCGGGGGCCCACACCTGAGAGGGCCGGCGGGGCCCTGAGGACATTTGGGATGTTCCCCCTTCCTTAATAGGGACTATGATTCCCCCCCCCCATTTTAATCCCGATTAAGGACCTCTTAGTGAAAACTAGCGGATACTATAATCTCTATTAGGGACTGTTAGGGGGTACTATAATCCCTATTAAGGATTGTTCGGGGGTACTATAATCCCTATTCAGGACTGTTAGTATAAGGGGGAACCCTAAACCCTAAACCCCAAACCCTAAACCCCAAACCCGGAACATCCCAGAGTCTCATGCAAAAGACGCCGGAGGCAGGATGGAGCCTCGAGGCCGCTCCCGGAGCCTTCGAGGACGGGATGTGGATTGAGGTGTTAGGGGCCTATTTGGGATTGGGGCCTATGTAGGTGTTAGGGCCTGTGGGGTTTCGGTTTAGGGTTCAGGGTTCAGGGTTTAGGGTTTAGGGTTTGGGGTTTGGGGTTTAGGGTTTAGGGTTTAAGCACACCCACACCTGAGCTTCGGGGTTTTCATTTTTTAGGTTTGGGACGGGGTTTTGGGGGGACAAATCGACAAATCCGTCGCAGAGTGCTGTTAAAGGGCCCAGTGGGGTCCTAGGGGCTGTGCAGGCTCTGGGAATCTTTTGTCGAGATCATGCCGGCTGCACAAAGGCTGTGTAACAGTATAACGCCCCGCCGTCACCTCTTGTGCACACTAGTAATCATGCTGAGATCTCCGGCTGACCATCCCCAGCGCAGGCCCGTCGCTCAAAGCCGCCTTAGAGGCGGGCTTCAGCCTTCGGCCCTGGCCACCTTCCACCATTCTGCTACTGTCCGTAGCTACGTGACTTCCGCACTGGCCTGCTGACTTAATGGACGCTGTTTCCGCTCAGTACTTTGAGTACAAGTCTGGTGCCTCAGGCAGCTGCCATCAAAGAGGAATCTGAAGCAGAAAGTGGCGAATGCACCAGTGGTCGACTCAGCAGAGCGATTAGGGGCTGCAGGGCAGGATGGTAGCAGGTTATATGCCTGTGCTTACAGGGCCCAAGGAGGCTACAGACACGAGAGGCTTCGTGTTTACACTGTAGGCAAAGGATTCAGCTCTCGATGCTTCGAGGCTCTCCTACCCTAAACCCTAAACCCTAAACCCTTAAGCCCCAAGAAGCCGTAAACCCTCAAGAGCCACAGAGGGGGGGTTTAGCAATAGGAGTCCAGGCATTTGGGGCTCCCTGTGCTGCCAGGTGCCCAGCGTTGTTGATTTCGGCAATTGGGGGCAAACCTATAGAACCCTAAGCCCTAACCCTACACCCCAAACCCCAAACCCCAAACTCTAAACCCCAAACCCCAAACCCTAAACCCTAAACCCTAAACCCTAAACCCTAAACCCTAAAGCCTAAACCCCACCCCCCTAAACCCAGCCCTGCAACCCCAGAGCACTTGAGCTCAGGCCCCAGTCCCTGCAGCGACCGGCGCCCGATGGCCGGCCGGCTGCCGTCGGGGGGACCTAGAGTCTGGAGGGTTTAAGGGCCTCGGGCCCAGGGTATAGAGGGGATAGAGGGTTTAGGGTTTGGGGTTTAGGGTAGAGAGTTTCGGGGGTATAGAGGGTATGGAAGTGCAGACGGTTTAGGGTATAGAGCTTCGGGGGTATGGAGGGAATCGAGGGTTGAAGGTATAGAGTGTATATGGGGTTTGTTCCGTTTAGGGTTTGGGGTTATAGGGTATAGGGGATTAGGGTAAAGGGCATGGAGGGTTTCAGGCATAGGGTATAGAGGGCTTCGGGCATAGGGTCTAAAGCCTGTAGGGTGTATAGGGCTGAAATACTACATTACCAATATGTTCGCCATATAACAGAGAATATCCATCCAGGACGCGCATTCCAATTGACTGGGCTCCTCTAGCAGTAGAGTGCTGAGGGTTATAGGTTATCGGCTTAGGTTGAAGACGATCCATGCACTGCTGTGTAGATCTGTATATGTAGGTTTTATAGATGTATGTGCTGCGTTTCGAACACCATGATCCCTCGGGTAGGGGGCGGGTGGGTGCTTCCAAGCTGCCAGAATATTCTCACAAGGAATGAAACCGCATTTCCTGAAAACTGCCCACCCTTCCACAGTCGCAAGGAGGAACCCACACCCTACACCCTAAACCCTAAAACCCTAAAACCTAAACCCTCAACCCGAAACACGAATGCGTCCGAGGCTCCACAGCATTGTTCCCAATCCAGGCCTCGTTCCTTTGAAGATGGAGGCTGGGCTCACGGCGACGGATGCTGACACTTCAAACTGTGGTTGTATGATTCTTGTTGCGGCTATTGCTGTTGCTGTGCCATGAACAAGATTAGCACTTGTGAGTGATAGCTGGAACGCCTCTAACAGCGACTGCAAGTATCAGGAAGCCACAGCAAGACTACCCCTTCTGAAGCCCATGCTTGAGAGTTTCAACTGAGTCAACTGGAACCTCGATTTGAACTTTGCCTTACCTCTTTTGCGTGCTTGAGCTGGCGAGGTCGAGAATATGCGGGAAGAGCCGGACGCCCGCTGCCTTAGTGTACTTCACGCGGCAGGGACGCTGGGTTTGGGTTGCAGTCTTCCTGCTTGCGGCCACTCCGGGCCCCTAAACCCTAAACCCCAAATCTCTGCACCTCTGGTTGTTCTATAGGACTGTAGGCAAAGGTGGCCCTGTCAAGTAGGAGATGATGCTCACGCACATGGGGGGGCCTGGTCAGAAGGGGACAAACATCGCCTTCGCCCTCAAAGCATCCTGAGTCCGGCTGTTCAGGCGAGGATCTCAAACCCTGGTCTAGTTCAAACTTTAGGTTTTGGGGTTCAAGGTTTGGGGTTTTTAGGGTTGAGGGTTTAGGGTTTAGGGTTCCTTTGCTCCTGGTGGCTCAGGCCATGGTCGACGGGCTGAGCAGTGGGGAATGCTCTCCCGAGCTCGGTCCTCGAGAGCTACCAAGGGACGAAAGGAGGGACCCTTTTAAGGGACCTTGGGGGTTTTTTGGGGGTTTAGGGTTTAGGGTTTAGGGTTTAGGGTTTAGGGTTTAGGGTTTAGGGTTTAGGGTGGCTATGTGGGGGCTATTTAGGGGGCTACTTAGGTATACAGGGACTTTATAAGGTATATATAGGGGCTATATAGGAGCAATATCAAGGGTCCTTATGAGCTAACTTGTGGGGGCTTTAGGGTTTGCAGCTGCTTATACTAACATCCTCAATAGGGATGATAGTACCCCCCTATTCTAATCCCTAATAAGGACTGCAAGTATGAGGGGGTACATCCCAAGCTGCATCGAAGGTCTTTTTACTTTTTGGGGGTCTTAGGGTGTACGCCAAACCTCATCCCCAAAAATCCTAAAC